GCGTCGCCTACGAGCTGGTAGAGGGTGTACTTGGCCATGATGATTGGTGATGGAGATGGAGGGGGGAGATGGAGGGGGAAATGTGACAGGGCGGGGTTATATACGGCATGCTCAATAAGGCGTGCAAGAACGTGGACCGATGAGGTGATCATGACAAACAATTCTGAGCTCCGGTTACCGACACGGTGAACTCCGGTCGGCCGCCGGGATATGCCGGTGGAGGCTGTCCCTGTCTGGCTTGTCTGTGCCTACATACATATCTCCTCTTGCATCCTGCTTCAATTGTCGAGCATCCATTGAATCTCTCGACACAGGCGGCTTGAGTGGATCTCAGGCGACTGATTTTCGATCCCATGCAGTCCCGATAACCCCCGCCCCCGATCCTTTCCCGTCTCCCTCCACGCTCTTATCATGCCCCATCTCCGAGCAACCATCCTATCTCCACCGCCCCTCTTTTCTCTGGCATCTCCACCAAAAAGAACATCGTACGGCCGTACCTTGTTCTGCCAACACCCGTATCCCCACGACCCCGTCACCAGAGCACTGACTCACCAACCTCGCTGCTCGGCAACCACCCTCACGACACATTGAAACTGCCCGCCTCTACGCACCACGGGCCTAGGCTATCTCTCAGAAGCCCATAGGAAGGCCATGCGGGTAGTCATGCTTGGCGTCTCGCATGCATGCTTGGTGCGCTCAACACTTGGTATAATACGGGAGGCGGTGATTGAAGGATCGTTCTTACCCTTCTGCCTTCGACTTTGACGCTTGACACCCCACGACGGATTTTTGTGTTGTACCCTGGGAGCAGGCCTCCTCATTTCAGCTATATCACCAACCTCGCCGGACGAGTAATCACCCTCCTCCTCTTACCCCACTCCCCTCCCAACCACCCGACAGCTCAACAATGTCCCTCAAAGCTGAACTAACCACGTGGGCCGCCGCCCTTAAAGCCTACGAAGCCGACGACATGGAGTCCGCCCTGCTCAATTTCGAACAGATTTCCGATACGAGCAAAATCAACTGGAACATGGGCATCATCCTCGCCACTATCGGTCGGCACGAAGAGGCGATAGACAGGTTTTATGAGGCGACGAGCTTGGATATGTATATGACGGTGGGATATCATCAGGCGGGAGTTAGTAATTTTGTGAGTCGTCTTTTTTTGGTGAGTCGAAAGGGGGCTGATGAAGAGGTAGATGCTGGGGCAGTATGAAGCGGCGCAGAAAGATTTCGAAGATGCGCTCCTCTACCTCCGTGGTAATCAAACGATGTATGCCCCTTCTTTTTCCCCCCTGGCCGCTCCGCTAACATTCCCTACAGCGACTACACCCAACTCGGCCTTGCCTTCCGTCTCCACTCCTGCGAAGTCCTCTTCAACTGCGGCCTCTCCAAAATCTACCTCGGCCAATTTGACTCTGGCATGGCCGACCTCCGCGAAGCGGCGGGGTGCAAGCAGACGGCGGATCATGGGGTTATTGATGATGCGATAAGAGATCAGGGGAGGGATTATAATGTTTTCAGTGTTCCTGTGAGTGCTTCTTGCTTTTCGGGCTGAGGTGGGTAAGAGCTGACGTGGTTGGTAAGGTGGGAGTACTTTTTAGACCGTCGGCAAACAAGTTGAAGAACCTGGAAACAAGAGACTACATGGGTAAAGCCGTAAGCCCCTCTTCCTCTTCTTTTTGTCCCCAACTAACACTTCCTCACAGATCCTAGTAGCAGCCTCAGACGCTTCCGACGCATACACAACCTTCACCGGTATCACCCGTCTCCAGCGTGGCCAAACCCCCTCCGGCGCGCCGCTCGAACCCGGTACAGCACTCGGCAGGTCTGCGTCAGTCTCTCAAGCCGCGCCGATGGCGACTCCTGTGCAGACGAGGATGGCTAGGAGTAATACTGTGGCTGTGCCGAGGCAGACTGAACCTTTGACTATGGGTGGGATGGGTGGTGGGGGGCCGAAGCCGGGGCTGGGCAGGTCAGCTACCCAAACCCGTCCTACGGTCAAGATCCCAAATGAAAGCGCACCCACCATCCCACTCCCCGCTCCCCTCCGTCAGCCCTCTTTCGACTCTTCCTCTTCTTCCTCCCCCCAATCTGTACCCGAACCTCTCCTCCAAACACCCCAACAAGAACGCCCTTCCAACTCTCTCCGGGTCACCGAGTTGTACGACGATTACTACAAGTCGCCTGGCGCGTTCGACGATGATATCCCGCCAGACTTGCCGCCCATTGGAGGGAAGAAGATTGAACAGTGGGCGAAAGGTACGCCTTTTGGAGCTTCGCCCACTGTCCCTCTTTCGCGCAAAGGGAGCGCTTCTGCCTCTTCGGCCCGCGCGCCGCCGTCTGCTTTCCAAAGAGGACCGTCTTTGAGGCGTATGCCCTCCATCGCTGGGACAGAGTCGAGCTACAGGGACGACGCGTCTGAGGTCTCTTCCTTCTACGATATGGTCAAAATCAGAGTCAAAGTGCACTACCGCAATCTCAAACGCGGCATGTCTGTCTCTCCAGAACAGACCCTTGAAGACTTCATGCGCGCTTTGGAAGCCAAGTTCCCGGAGATGTCTGGAGGCGGAGGGGTACAGGTGAGATTCAAAGATGAAGATGGGGATGAGCTTTCAATGCAGGATGAAGGTGATTTCGAGGCGGCGGTGGATGTGGCTAGGGTTCTCGCAAAGGGGAGGGCGGAGGGAAAGTTGGAGATCTGGGTTGAGTAGGGGTGCTAGCAGGTATACGAGTACATCATTTGGGACACTTTTCTTGGAGAATGAAGGATGGAGGACGGAGTTGGCGTGTATTTGCATATAGCTGTAATCCTAGACATTCGAAAGATAAAGGCGGCTACGTATGGGCGGGAATCTCTTGCATGCAGAATGGACATCGAACATCGATAAAAGCCTAGCCTTCTCGTTCCTTCCTTCCGTACATTGCTCGGAGCACATGGGCAGCTATGACTGTATGACGGCGGGTCGCGGGAAGAAGTGGAAGACGGTTTGCCGCGCGGCACGGCTCTTCACGGAGGCGGCTCGGGGACTGGACGGTTCGGCAATGATCATCCACGACGTGGCCACGATACCGCAAGTCCAGCAGGACGGCAGTCGTTTGAATCGCTTCCTCGCTATATCAAGAGCTTATACCCTTTGGCGCCTGCGATACGATTCTTGTCAAAAATAACGAGACGAGCAGGTAGAGACCGACGTACGTAGGGCCGACTTTACTATATCGCCTGCCATGACGGGTTACTATCATAATTGAATCATGGCACCGTTCCGTAACCCATAACTATGCTTCTGAGCAATCAGATGGGCAAAGACTCGCTTTACGTTACTTTTCGTATCAAAGGTGCAATCGAAGGAAGAAAAATTGTTCGGCATCATTTTTTATTTCGGCCACCCGAACTCGACCCTGATGATCGACTCACGTTCTCGATGCTCTAGCCCATCTCTACGTCTCTTCCCCTCGTGTTGTACAACTTTTCTCTTACCTCATAGTCATGAAAATTTCGCATGCAATCATGAGGAACATAAGACGATCGAGATGTGGACCGAGCGCTATCTACCGCTTCGGGCATTATCTTTTGGGGTCTCCACCAGCCAGACGAACGTGGATGTCGGCAAGAAGGCAGGAAGACAAGTTTGGCATTTGAACGGCATGTCTTCCTCCTCTTAACTCGCGTTCCACCATATGGACATCTTACTATCGTTGTACGATATGTGGGGTTAACGGCAGACGCTGTTTTCGGCGCTTACCATTTTGGCTGGAAGATGACTCTATCGATCCACATGGTTTTATGCCTCGAGCAAACCCCGGGAAAGGTATAAAAGGTGTCCAGTTCTTTGGGTTTGAAGATCTCCAATACTTCTTCTGAAGACGCCTCAACACTACACCGAAAAACCCAACATGTACATCGCCGCCCCAGCCCTTATCGCCCTGTTGGCTATCATCCCTGCCCAAGCCTCTGTCTTTACCCAGAAGAACGCGAGAGCTACCTTGTACGTTTTTGCACTCTATGCCTATGTCCCCGCATCTACCTCTCCATGTACAGAAGCTGACCTCGTCGTGTAGCTACTACGACACTGCCGAGGCCTCGTCGAACGGCCACGAAGCCTGTGGTTCTACCCCCGGCGACCCCGTCCCCGCCGGCTGGGCCGAGTCCTCCGGTATCAACAAGGGTGTCCCTTACTGCGAATACCACAGGGGCAAGACTCTCGATGAGATCGGTACCAACAACATCGTTGGTATGTTCATCCTCGTCTCTCTCGTCATGTTGTCGTAAAGCGCGAAAGAGTATAATGCTGACGACACACCGTACTCGTAGCGATCAACGCCGCTACTCTCGCTGGCGACCCCCACAAGTATTGCGGCCGTGAAGTTCAGATTACCAAAGCCGGCGGCTCCAAGTTCAACTATAGCGGCGGCAAGCTCTACATCTGGGATGGATGTCAGGCTTGCCAAGATGCCAACAGCGGCATCATTGACCTGTCCGGTATGTCCTTACCGTCTTCGTGTCTCTCTCTGGAGGCTGACAAGATTGTAGCTCCTACTTTCGTCGAGCTGAAGGGTGGGACCTGTTCTGGGAACAACCCTGATGGTCTTACCTATGAGGTGCTTGACAACTATGTTGTTGACCCCTCTTCTGTTGGATTTTAAGTCTCGTGATCACAGAGTATGAAATGAAACAGGAAGATATTTGGTCGAAGATGATAGTAGTAATCGTTCTACAACAGTGCCAGAAGTAAATGCACGTGTATGGTTCAATTCTTCCAAAGTTTTGGGTATGATAGAAGACGTATGCAACAGGCCCGAAATAGAGTGAACCACAATCGTCACATAGCACGAGTGAGAAATCACAGCGAAGGAGAGTATAATCCTTGAACAGCCGGCATGCGAGCAGCTATCAGTGTAAGACGACTGCCATAACGGGAATGCATGTACTTGGAATCGCTTAAAATAGGCAATCAACGGTGTACCATAATATGTACAAAGCGAAAACGAGGGCATGACTAGATAGCAAATGACTGTTGGACGAAATCGGTCGACGCAGAACAGCGCGTCCCCCCAGACACATCGACGTATGTCTTCTGACCCGGAGTCATCGTCTCACGACCCGACTTCGTCTTCTTCCACTCCCCCTCAGCATGTCTGGCAGCCAGCTTGGCGAGACTGAAAGACCAAACATCGTCAAAGTTGACCTGAACAAAGCCGTCGTAGTTGTTATTCTCGGCTTTCAGGGCGGCGATATCGCTCTCGAGACCCATGCTCACTCGGCCGGGGGGACTGGAAGGAGGGTGAGCCATATCCCTTGTCAAGGATGAAGGCGATTGCTCGGACGATGGTGGACGAAGCGGGGCTAAGGCTGGCAATGTTCTTGCAGATGTAGATGTACAACTGCGAGTTGGAGAAGTGGGTGCCTTGGAACCAGCTGCCGTGGGTGACGTAGGTGAGAATAAAGCCTTGGGGGACTTTGTCTTCGCCGATGGTGGGCTGGATGATGGGACTCTTGACAACGAAGAGCTCGGTAGTGCTAGGAGCTGGACAATTACGTCAGTTATTGAACATTTTGTGTCTGGACGGACTGGTGGTACTTACCGAAGGTCTCTTGACCGACACTGTTCAAAGGCGCAAAGCAAACCTTATTGTGAACCATTTTGTGGACAGCCATGAGAGAGGGAGTGTAGGTAGTAGCGATAGAGAATTCATAGTGGTTCAATTTTGTATTTGTATAATAGGTTTAGTCTCGAGTGAGGGTTTGGCGTGCTGTCTTCTTGCGAAGCAGTCACGCGAAGGTGTTCCTTACTGTGACTGTGTCATGGGATCTTCGAAGACTTTGAAAGACTGGAAAGAACAATATCTTTGGTGTATTTCCCAACAACCACAAGGAAAGGACAGTCGAGAGCTAACATGACGGGGATGAGCGTTCACCGTAGCCGAAGTCTCCAAAGAGCCCGTCAAATGGTGTGGTCGTGAGGTACAGATTACCAAAGCTAATGGCACAACGCTTGAATCAAAGACTGGAAAGTTGTACATCTGGGATACGTTATCCCGAGAAAAGTGGGTCTGATTCTAAGCTGCATCATGTGTCAGTTGAGTCTTTCATCGGCTTGGCTCTTTCCTCCTCCAATACGTGGAGTAGCAGGTTGATGATGCTGCTTGTGGATAGCTCCTGTCTGTGTCGAGCTCAATTGAGGGAACTGTGGCATTGACAGACGGACCGGGATTGCTTATGAGATACTGGATAGTAATGTGGGGCAGTAGCAATAGCAGTGGCAGCAAGACGGACAATCTGACTTGTGTGATTTTGCGATCAGTGTCCGAAGTAAGCATTGTACAATTAGGGTACCTGTAAGCGGCGAGAATCATTGATGCATATGAACTTGGCCTACAAAGACCGCAGTATGTGGAAGGACATCGTCAGCATGATGATGTCTCGTATCATTTTCTTCCTTACTTTCGAACGTCCTTCAATTGCTCCTTGTCCGCAACAAGATGCAAAGCCGGAAAGGACTGCATTTCCATTCTCCCTGACCGGTATTCCACAGCTCGTTTGCAGCAAGAGACAGATGGTGGGAAGACCAAGTGAGCCAGCCACGTCGGTCTCCATTCATCCACCTCGCCCCTTCGTTACTACGGCGCATACATAGTACCAAACAGCGAGGCAATAGACAACAAGCATCTTTTGTGCCCGGGACGCTCAGCCGCAGCTGATGTCCGTGGGGTACACACGTCCACACACAACGCACAGACCGATCAAAGGACACTGGAATAGCAGCTTTAAAACATTTCATGTCAATCCTCTTTTCCTTTCATCTTTCATCCATCTTCTCGCCCCTTGCCCATCTTCTTCCTCGCTTATAACCCCCTCTCCCAGTCTCTACTTCAAGATATAGTATCCATCACCTTTCTAGCAGCGCTAGTCTCCCATCTCTTCTCCTCACTTCATCAAACACTCGGCTTCCAGCCTCTACATTTGGGTATACTTCCCTCGACGCTCTTTGACCAGCACACTCTTTGCTTGAAAGCCTTTTACCGCATCTTTCAGCATCACAAATCATATCTACGCTTGACGCCATGTTCGCTGCCGCTTCTATTTTGGCTCTTTTGGCGCTTGTCGCCTGTCAAGGGGCTACCTTCCTTAGGCTATGCCTTCAGAGCTCGCCGAGGGGTAGAGACGAAATGGTCTGAGAACTCGAAGTGAGTGGCCAGACCAATGCCGAAGGAAGGTAGCCCCTTGACAGTATAGTGGATCGGCCTTACTTCTTGAGGTCGCCACCCCTTTATCAACCCTATAACACACAACAACCAACTCCTTCCCCTATCACAATGTCTACCAACAATCAAGAGCCTCCTGCCCTCAGGACACGACGACGAGGTGCCCTACCTACTCCATCCCAGGAGGAAGAAGATGTTCCCGGTCCAATTGATGGTCCCGGTGGCGCTTCTACTGGTGATGCTCCTCAGTCGTCTGGGCCAGGCGGAAACGGGCAGACATCTGTCTTACCTACCGACATTCCTCTTCCTCCTCCATCCCCCATGCTGGAACCTTCTATTAATGAAGAAGGCAACCAGAACCCCAACACTATCAACGCCCAAACCCCTGACCCAAACAACGACGATGAGAACTACAACGAGCCTTCAGGCTCTGACCTTCCATCCGATAATGGGCAGCTGAACAACGCTGCGGGTGACAACGGGCCTACTTCGACAACTCCTGCCCCGCCTCTTCTCCCTCCTGCGGCAACTACTGCGGAGCTGATTCAGCTTCGTACCCTCGAAGTTCTCGAGCGTCTCGCTGCTACTACTGCTCGTGCCTCCACCACCCCCCCTGCCCCTACGACATATTCTCCAAGCCCCTCACGAGTTCTCGAACCAGAGACCATCACTCGAGACCGAGTCAAAGTAGCCAATGCGCCCGAACCTTTCAGTGGGAATCGCTCAAAGCTTGAGTATTTCATCGCCAATAACCGTATCTATTTCGATACATATCCGAACTCTTTTATCTCGGATAAAGAGAAGATCACCTATATGCTCACGAACATCCGTGGTCCTGTGTGGGCATCCTTACAGCCTTACGTCAACCAGGAGCCACGGCCGTTCATCCTCCAAGATTTATCGGCATTCATCTCCCATCTTCGCCGACACTGGGGCACATCCGACGAGAAGGGCAATGCCAAACGTAGCCTACGAATGTTACGTCAGACCGGTACAGCAGACTCCTTCTTTGTCGAGTTCCAACGTCTCACTTCTATTCTTGGTTGGGACTCCGACAGCGAGGCACTCATCGACCAGGCTGTCGAAAAGATGTCTGAAGAACTTCAGGATGAGCTTGCTCGAGCCCATTTCGAGCCTACCACATTCAGCGAGCTTATGGACTGGGCTACTACCCTCGACAACCGCCTCCGGGCTAGAGCTGCAGACAAAGGCAGTTCTGTTCATAAGGTGAAGGGAGAATCCTCCTCTTCCTACTCTGCCTCCAGAAGCAATCGCCCTGTTAAACCCTCTGCTGAGTACGGTAATCAATCCGCTCGCACCAACGCTACTCCTTCTGCCGCATCTGGCTCTCAAAGCTCCCAACCTCGCGAGCCTCTTTCTGCGGATGAGAAAGCTCGCCGCCTCAAAGAAGGGCTGTGCGCTTACTGCGGTCTTCCTGACCATCAAGTTGCCAACTGTGGCTTGCTTCGAATCAAGAACGAGCGTCTGGCAGCAGCGGGAAAAATTCCTGGCCGTCAGGCTTAGGAGAGCGCCCTGCCGGCCCCCAGCTTTCGAATGCTCTCTCTTTTCGTTTTGTTTCCACCTTATCGCCTCCTCAGAAAACTCCAAAACCACAAAAACAATTGAAAACCAACAAAACACAAAAACATGTTCGTTTTGCTCTCCCGACAGAAGAACCAAAACCACAAAAACAATTGAAAAACTCCAAAACCCAAAAACATGTCTTCATCTCTCTTGCGCCAGATCAGGCTACTTCTATTCATTCTTGGGTTTTTCCTTCGGTTTCTTCTCCTATCACTCTGAAGGTTCTCTGGGATACGGGCGCCAGAGGCTGCTTCATTAATACCGCCCTCTCCCTCACTCCTCCATTTGCCTCCCTTCGACAACTCCTCCCTATTCCCAGTCGACTCACCATGTTCGATGGCCGAGAATCCGCTGGTGGAGTAGTCACTCACACTATCACTCTTCCACTCCCTCTCTTCCCCGACGCTCCTGCCCTCCAGTGTACATTCAACGTCACTGATTGTGCCGATTCCGATTTGGTCTTAGGCGATGATTGGATGACAACACAGGGGGTTGAGCTATTCCCAGCCTTGAGAAAGGTTGTTGTACCCTATCCACAGAAGCTGGCGCTAGCCTCCATCCGCTCCAAACACCCTTCCCAATCTACTCGCCTAAAGCGTCTCATCATCACATACCCCAACAACATACCGCTGGGGACCCCTCATCCAACCTTTTCACCACCATCTATCTCTTCATCGCAATCAGTACCTTCGGCCAAAGGTGCTGGATTGCCTAGTCCTCCCTCGCGATCAGTACCTTCGGCCCAAGGTGCTGGATCGTCTCTTCCTTCCGCGAGCTCTGACAACGTCAGCGTAGCTCCTCAAACTTCAGCTCCATACCCACCTCCGACCTCTAGCAACTCTAGAACCTCTAGTACTTCGTGCCCAAGCGACGCAGATCCTTGGGGCACCATTCCTCAGCCCAGCAGTCATGACGTTGGCGCTGCTCTAGTTTCACCTCCCGGCAACCCCTCCTCCGGCTCTGATTGCGCTGCGTCAGATAAAGCCACCTCAAATGGTACCATTGCAAACTCATTTCAGTCCTCCTCCTTGCCTACTGTGTCGACCAGTAGTCCTCTCGCCCTCGTCCCCAAGGCAGAACCCCAGTTCCAAGTGCGCGCTGTCGCTGCTGGTACTCCTGGAGATCTCAATCTTGACGAGTTGAAAGCTATTCAACCTCAGTTCTTTGAACCACTTTCTTCGGAAGAATTCGAGAAAGAAACCAAAGAGCTCCTCGCGGTCTTGCCAACCGCCTACCAATCCTATCTCGACCTCTTTAGACCCTCTTCGGGTACTCAAACGCTTCCACCCCATCGATCATACGACATGACGATCTCCCTCATCCCCAATCACAAGCTTCGCCCAGCTCCTCTCTACCGCTTGAGTTCAGTAGAACAGAAAGTGATGCTGGAGACACTCACCAGAGAGCTGGCTGCTGGCCGCATTCGCCCTTCCAACTCTTCCTATGGTTCTCCCACCTTTTTCGTTCCCAAATCAGATGGTCGCTACCGCATGGTGGTAGACTACCGTCATCTGAACACCAACACCATTCCCAACGCCTACCCACTCCCTCTCATCGACGAAATCATCTCTGAGCTTGGCTCTTCCCAATATTTCACTAAACTCGATCTTGTCGGCGCGTATCAATTGCTGAGGATTGCAGAAGGTTTTGAACACCTGACAGCGTTCCGCACGCAGTACGGCATGTTCGAATCGTGTGTCGTTCGTGATGGTTTACGCAATGCTCCTGCAGTCTTCCAGCACTTTCTGAACGAAGTGTTCCGGGAGCTAATAGGTCAAGGTGTCATCATCTATATCGACGATATTCTCATCCATGCCCAAACCCTCGACAAACTTCGCTCTCTCACACACCGCGTCTTCGCGCTTGCTCGCAAGGCTTGCCTCTATTTGAAGGCTTCCAAGTGTGAATTTGAGCGTACCTCGATTATCTTCCTTGGTTTCCAAATCTCCGCCTCCGGTGTATCCACCAATCCAAAGAAGGTCGAGGCCATTGCCACATTCCCGGTTCCGCGAAGTCTCAGCGAGTCAAGATCCTTCATAGGTCTCGTCAGCTACTATCGCCGCTTCGTCAAAGACTTCGCTACCATCGCCTCCCCCATCACCGGTCTTACAAAGAAGAACGTACCTTTTGTTTGGGATACACCCCAACAGGAGGCTTTTGAGACCCTCAAGAGCCACCTCACCTCGTCTCCAACTCTAGCCCACTACAACCCCAACGCCACCACCACTATCCTCCAAACCGATGCTTCCTTCTTTGGCTGGGGTTTTGTCCTCTCACAAGTGGACCCGGTCACTCAACTCGAACACCCCATTGCCATTGAATCTGGTCGATTTTCGGGTGCCAAGTTGAACTACTCCACTACTGAGAAGGAGTTCTTGGCGATTGTCGAAGGCTTCGTACGCTGCCGACATATGCTCCTACCCCTCCACACTCTCGTCTTCACAGATCACCACAACCTGTCCTACTGGATGACCCCGCGTCAGCTCAGTCCTCGACAGGCACGCTGGGCCGAAATTCTTGCCCCTTTCAGCTTCGAGATCATCTATCGTCCAGGCAAATTAGCTGTTATGCCCGACGCTCTCTCTCGACGCTCCGATTACCATGAAGGAAAAGGGACAACGTACCACCAAGACCTAAATTTCGCCCAAGCCCTTCCCTCTTTCACAACCTCCCCTTCACACCCCACTTCAGAACTCCCCAACGCTACTCCAGTGCTGAGGTCTATCGCTTGCCCCCCTCCTCCCGACCGCGATTACTTCATCGATGATGCCGATATCCTTACAGGTCTCGCAGTCGATTCCGAGATTGCTACTGTTCGTGCTGAGATGCTCGCTGTCATCTGTACATCCTGCACGCACGTTACTTGTCAGCAACACCTCCCAGATCCACCTTCCCTTCCCCAGCTTCGTCGCGCCCATCACAACCCCGCTCTCCACTCCCCCTCTTGGTCTCACAGGGGATTCCTCCTCTTTGATGGCCGAACTTATGTTCCCAATACCAACGACGCTCGCGCAAAGATCCTCAGAGCCCGGCATGACTCTCGCCTTGCTGGTCACCCCGGCATAACAAAGACGCTTGAGCTCATCTCCAGAGACTATCTTTGGATTGGCCTTCGCCGAGATGTCGAACTCTACATCGCTGGCTGTGACATCTGTCAGCGAACGAAAACTTCCCACCAACGCTCCCATCCACATCTCCGTCCTCTAGAAGTACCCAAGCTCCCTTGGCGTAACCTCTCCATGGACTTTATCGAACCTCTTCCTCCCTCCCACTCCTACAACTCCATCCTTGTGATTGTAGATCGACTTACCAAATGGTCTATCTTCATTCCGACAACTACCAAACTATCGGCACCTGGTCTTGCGACTCTCTTCATTGCGCATGTCTTGTCCCAACACGGCCTCCCAGACAGCATTGTCTCTGATCGCGGCTCCAAGTTTGTGTCAAAGTTCTGGCGTTGTTTGACGACCCAGCTCGACATCAAGCTAAATCTCTCCACCGCGTATCACCCACAGACCGATGGGCAGACTGAACGAGTCAACCAGTCCGTCGAACAGTACTTGCGCATCTTTACCAGTTATAACCAAGATGACTGGGATATCTTGCTTCCACAAGCTTCATTCCATTACAACAACTCGCTCCACTCAGCAACACGTTTTAGTCCCTTCTTTGCCAATTTTGGCTACAACCCTCGCTGGACCGATGAGCTGCGAAGCTCTAACGTCACCGTTCCCGACGCAGTCCGCGTTGCTACCTCTCTCCTCGACATCCACTCCCAATGCTCCCAAAATATCTCCCTCGTCAACCAAAAGTATGCTGCGGCCTACAACCGTACGCATGCTGTAGGTCCAGTGTTTGAAGTCGGCGACCTTGTGTTGCTTTCGATGGAAAACATGAAGACCACTCGTCCTACAAAGAAACTTGACTATCGAAACGATGGGCCCTTCAAGGTCCTGACCAAAATCTCTGATTACGCATACCAGCTGGACATTCCTCCATCCTGGCAGCGTTTCGACATCTTTCCGGTGTCGCTTTTACGCCCTTACACTCCTCCCCATTTCCCCCTCCAATCTTCCACCACTTCCCCTACCCCTCCAGCTCTCGACAACGATGAGAGCATCCCCTCCTATCGCATCACCCAATTCTTAAACTCTCGAAACAACTCCGAAACCGGCAAACTCGAGTATCTCATCGAATGGGACGGTCTCGAAGGCACTGCTGAACAGGTCTCTTGGCAGCCTCCCTCCGATCTGTCCTCAGATCCTCGATTTGCTCAAGCCAAAGAAGAATTCCATCTTCTGAACCCTACCAAACCCTCCACAGACACCACTCCTCGCCCAAAGCTCAGCCGAGCCAAACAAACAACGACCTCCTCTCCTCGGCAGGACGATTTCTCGCCTGCTACTCTTTCCCAAATATCCCCTCCTCCCTCTTCCCACCCTACTTCTTCCCCTACCACTTCACCCACCCCAAATTCTATCCGCCCAAAACAACCACCCAACTGGAAAGGCTGGAAACTCGTCCCAGACGAACCTCCCTCTCCCTCTCCCCTACCCTACAACGGCCCCACTTCACGCAGCGGCCGCCCTCTTCGTCGCAAGGTCATCCATGACTAAAGCGCCATCATCCTCTACACTATCCCCTTCCTGCACCCCGTCTCTCCACCTACTCCCTCCCCAACTCCACAACACACACACTCTTTTCCCACACTCATTATGTTACCCACTTCATCTCTTGTCAGCCATCTACTGGCCCCACCAAGAGTCTCAAGCGCGTAGCGCAGAAGGATTATGACTGAAGAATCTGATGGAAAATGGAAATGGAATGGAAAGTTAGATAGGACACATCGGACGACGGTATATAGGCTGAGGAGAAAGATCGTACCGGCACAATATATAGGTGAGCACCAACACAGTCTGCGCTGAATCTCGTCAACAGTACCTCCGTCACTCTATGGGTCACTATATCACCAACCTGGCAATATCGAATGTTCTCTCTCTACTCCGCTCTCTCTCCCGTATTTCCTTCGCCCCCACTTTTGTCCGTCGCATATTCTGCGCCCCCCACAAACCCCTCACCACCAATAAAGCTCGCAGGGACGCTCGCTGTGGGGAACGGGCCGACTGTCACGTGGCTGTCGCCACTTGACCAAACACCCGAGCCAAACACCCGAACCTCCACCTCCCACGTCCGCGTCGAGCCCACATCTTGCCACCATCTGACTATAACATCCATCCATCTACCTCCGCGGCCGAGCTATACCAGCACCGCCTTCGAGATCAAACCTTCACGGGCAAGAATGGAAATACGCGGAGATAGAGAGAGCAAACCCATTCCACCACTTTCGAGAACATTCTTTCGCCACCAGGTTGGCCGATGTAGTTGATTCTAGAGGTTTCGACGGAGGATACGATGAGTAAGCAGACTTGAGGTGCCAGGGTATATAAGGACGTGTCTCCATAGCTGTAGATACTTCGTCGATCCACTATTGTTGTCTTCTCTAGTACACACTTTTCTCTCTCAACACACTCGTACAAACGCTATCTTCCTTCGGCATTGGTCTGGCCACTCACTTCGAGTTCTCAGACCATTTCGTCTCTACCCCTCGGCGAGCTCTGAAGGCATAGCCTAAGGAAGGTAGCCCCTTGACATCGCCCCCGCTCAGGCATCTATCTTTACGGAGTCCGACTCCGAGATGACCTTGTAAGCTTCAATCATGCAATTGATGATGATCGTTAACAGATATCAAGCTACTACGACGTCTCCGAGAGCACCGACTCTGGATCTGAGGCATGTGGCTCTTCCTCTAGCGACCCTGTCGTTGTCAACTGGGCTGTCACCTCCGGCATCAACTCTGGTGTTCCCTACTGTGAACAGTCTCGAGGTTACACTCTCGAACAAATTGGTACCAACAACATTGTCGGTGGGTCTACTCTGTCGTCGTCGTCGAGGGTTATAGCTCACTAAATATTTAGCGATCAACGCCGCGACTCTCTCTGGCGACCCCGCCAAGTACTGTGGCCGTGAAGTTCAAATCTACAACGCCGACGGCAGCAAGTTTACGAACAGCGGCGGATCGCTTTACATCTGGGATGGGTGCGCTGCTTGCGAGACTGCCGACTCTGCTATTCTTGACCTTTCGGGTATGTCTCCTTACTTCCCACCAAAACACAGACTGACCTTTGCGCAGCTGCCACTTTTGTCGAGTTGAAAGGCGGAACATGCTCCGGTTCCAACCCCACCGGTCTCACCTACGAGATCCTCGACAACTACGTCGTCGACCCTTCAGTTGGTATGGGCTCCAGCTACACTGCTGAAGGTAGCGTCGATTCTTCTTCCAGCACCGACGCCGCTTCAGCCTCGTCTTCATCTGCCGACCCCATCGTTTCCGTCTCTGCTTCTATCGGTGTCTCCGCTTCCTTCGGCGATGGCACTCCCTCCTCTTCCTCCGCTGCTGCGCCTTCCGTGACTTCCGTCCGAAGCACCCGCTACTCTTCCACCCTCTTCGCCGTCTCTTCCTCTTCTGCCGACGCTGCCGAGGGATCGCCTTCGTCTGCTGAAGCTTTGATTGCCGCCGCCGTCACCTCCGCTTCCACCGCCTCTGTCGCTTCTTCTCCCTCATCCTCTGCCGCGCAGAGCGTGGCCTCCGCGTCAACTAGCTTGACCTCCGGGACAGATGGAAATTGCACATACGGTGCTTGGCAGTGTGATGGTCTCACTTTGCAAGTCTGCAACTACCAGTCTACTAGTTCTCTTGGTAAGCCTCTTTACCACCTTCTGTTTGACAAACTGACGAAAGAGTAGGTTGGGAGACGATTGAAACCTGCGGATTTACTTGTGAGGTTACGGACAGTGGGTCGGTGGACTGTGAATAAACACACACTTTCTTCCTACCTCCCCTTCGCCCTCTCGCTCCACGGGTCCTCGGCGATCTTTTGTCCATCGCGTCCTTCTCGTTTTCCATCATCTGTCTTACAAATCTATAAAGAGCTTTGATAGTTCGCCATCAAACATACTTATATACCTTCTCTAGAAGAGAATGGCAATCAGTACTGGTACTCGAGTATGCATAATGCGCTTGATGCGACCCCGCCCAAGAACGAAGGAATGCTCTAATCTCTCAATTGCTTGAACACTTGCCTCAAAGGTTCGAGCCGATCATATTGGCGAATGAAAGGTTTGCTCACACCCGTATACAAGACTCTCGGTGATCAGTAGAGTGACAAAGTACGGCACTAGACAGCTCGGACAAACGGCAAAGTCCCGTGAAAGGGTTGGAAAGGATAGTCTACCGCGCATCGAGGAGGGATGGAATGAAAGGAGACTCGGTCAAGGTAGTATCAGACCATCAATCCAGCCTGACTAACTCATATATAGCTCTCCCCCACCTCTCAACGAGCGATCTCACATTACCATCCGCACAGTACTTGCTGTACTTGCTGTACTTGCTGCTTCATCCCGACTTCTATCGTTCAACTGACCAACCAAATCGCCTGGCGCGATGTTTACGCTCTTTACCTTTCTTTCTTTTGTCTCTATGTTGGGCAGCTTTACTATCCGGCTGGTAGCCGGTGAAGTACTGTTTGAGATGCAGAATGTTGTTGCTACCGTGTAAGTATTATTCCTCCTCTTACATCTCCACCCCAAATCGCTAGCAAAGCGAGAAGCTAACGAAGGGATATGGCAGATACTACGATGTAAACTGGGAGACGGACGGAGACGTCTGTTCACCCCGCTTTGGTGCCGGTTGGGCTCCTTCGCAGATCGGTACCCCGGGGTGCGAGAAGAATGGGATTCTGCAAGCTGATTTGGGGACCAATCGTATCGTCGGTATGTATTTCACGAAGAGACGGCTGTAAAAAATCTAACGTGGAGCTTAGCGATGAACCAAACATGGATGGAAGGCGACAAAAGCGCCTGGTGCGGTAAAGAAGTCAAGATCTTCAAAGAGGATGGTACTGAGTTGGTTTATGATGAACCACTCGTGCTGTGGGATACCTGTGCCGAATGTGCTGAGCATGTCAAGATTGATCTCGGAGGTATGTATGCTTCTCCCTTTTCTTCTGCCTATAAATTTCAAATGTATGCGTGTACAAGGACTAACTTGGACGCAATGACAGTGGGTCCATCGATGGCGTTGGACGATACGGTCTGCAGTTCTCAAGGCACCAACCCTTCGGGTCTCAAAGTGCAAGTCACGGACAACCAAATCTGGGCTCCAGCACCGGATGAAAACTCTTACTCGCCTACTTCTGCGAGCACACTTTACACTGGCGGTACGTCCTTCCCTTCTGATTTCATTCCTCCCAAATCCTCATCTCACACCCCCGTCCATTTGCGATGTCGCTGACGCGAAAATCAGGCGTCTTCAACTTTCCTAGTTCTGGGAGTCTCTCTGCACCATGGGGCGCCACGATCAGCGGAGATGATTCGAACCTTCCGGTTGTGGTGAAGACTGCTAGCAGCGGGGCACAAGCATCGGCGGCTGCGTCCGGAGCTGGAGCGTCGTCAGGGGTCACTTCTTCTGCAGCAGCAGCAGGGACGGGGAGTAGTGGGCTAGGCAGTTCGAGTGCCGCGGGGGTAACGAGTGGTGTGGGGGGTGTGACTAGCCAGGCTACTGCTGCCGGAGCCGCGTCCTCGGCATCAGGAGGGGCAAGTGCGGCGACAGCGACATCGGCTGCTATTGCTGAGACTTCCGTTGCTGGTGGAAGTTCTTCGCTTGATTTGGGTGGAGAAAGGTTTGTCTCTGGGAGCAGCAGTGATTCTGCTGGTACCTCTGCGGCGTCCGAAAGCTCCGCCGAAGAAGGCGCAAGTTCAGCTGGCGGGAGCCAAACGTCAACATCCGCTGCTAGCTCCATTGGTGCCGAAAACCTTGCATCGGCTTCCACCGGGTCTACCGCACCAGCTACATCTGTGGCCGGCTCCTCAGCTGCAGTAGCCTCTGCAACAGCAACCACGTGTGCCGGTGATGATGGAGAAGATTACAATGCGGGAGATCACATGTGCGACGGGACCACGTTGAAGATTTGTGCGAACAATGAATCGGGCTCTTCAAACGTCGGTAAGTCCTTTCACGATTATCTGGACTTGTTTGGAACCTGGGCAAAGTTGGTGGATACTGACCCTGAATGCAGCGTGGGTTGACCAGACACAGTGCTCTAATAATTGCACAATCGACTGTGGTGAGATCACATGCAACTGAGGAAGACAGAGAAAACAATTAGCGGATGACGAAAGACGATACCAGTATACCCTCTAGCATGCACCTTCATACCCATCGACGTTAACTGTCACACGTAGTAATCACCGAGAGTCTGTAGAGAACCTACGCTGAAACGATCCAAGTTTTATAATCTTCCGAAAGTATAACTGGTCGATTATATCAGTTGGTTTAGATTGTGGACCTAATAATTCAAACGAATCATTAGTCCAAGGTCGGCAGTTCGATCCTGTCATCGATCATTTATTTTTGCTTTTCTTTTTGCCTGCTTTTCCGTAGGCATGGAACAGCGACCAATGCTCAAACAATCTCCATTCAGGCAGCAGTTCGACAATTGGCGACTAGCACGACCGAGGACCACTCCTATGACACCCCTTGCGCCAAACGAAGCGAAGATGATTCGACATGTGACCGACGGGCTCGCGGGATGGCTCAGGGACCTCTTTCCCGGCATCTACTCGTCATTGTCGTCAGAATCGTTCCAAGGCAGGTGCATATGTAGCCACCAATCACTTATCCCTGCTATTCTATCTATCCTAGCTACACCAGCACTATGCCTGTTCCAATCGACTCCCTCCCGCTACCCACCACTATCTTACCTCTACAACATGTTCTCCCGCGTCTGCCCTTACCGAAAACACCTTCGGCTCAGCGCCGCTCCACTATCTTCAAGTCATCCACTGACGGCATCTGGGCGCCTGTCACCCCACTATGGGCTCCCTGGCCCATTCGATTATCACCAGAAGAAGCGGTAGCGATGGGCTATGATCCCGCAAACCCAGAGGGATTAGGGGTCGACGAGATTCTGGGGAGATGGGATCCTGTCGACTCATCGCCTGTCGAGAGCAAAGCAAATGGCTTGATAATGAAGAGTAGCAGAAGAAGGCTGGAGATGGAGCCGATCATTCTTGCTGTCTCTTCCAGAGCTCTTCAAGAAGTCTTACCTGCACTCGACCCGGGGGACATTTTGTCTATCACTCGTTCCGGTACCTTCCCGGATTCTCCGAATGCCGCCCGAGATTCTATCATCAACATTCTTTCCACCCGCAAAGTCTTATCATCAGCCACTTACGGACCTTGGAGCACAAGATACGCTGGACACCAATTCGGCGCCTGGGCAGGTCAGTTGGGAGATGGCAGGGCTGTATCGGTTCTGGAGACTGAGAGCAAACAGGGCGGAAGGCAGGAGATACAGCTCAAAGGTGCTGGGAGGACGCCTTTCTCTAGAACCGACGATGGGCTTGCCCCACTCAAAGGCGGTCTCAAGGAGTTCCTCGGCTCTGAAGGTGGGTTCATTTCTGACCGCTGTAATCTTTGCTGATGATTCTCGGTTAGCTACCGCAGCGCTAGGTATCCCCACAACCAGAGCCCTTGCCCTCCACACCCACCCACTCTCCACACTCCCTGTCTTCCGTAACTCTTCATTATCCCCCGCATCTATCCTCGCCCGTGTCTCGCCCTCTTTCATCCGAATCGGCCATTTTGAAGCTCTCAACCCACCTGAAGGCGGGCGTGGTGGGAGGCAGGTCTTTCTTGGGCTCGGTACCGGAAGCGGGGGTGAAGGCGAAGAATGGGTGGATAATCAGGCAGAGAAGGAGGAGGATGAGGCCCAAGAGGGCGATCCGAAGGAGAGGGTAATTGGAAACCTTGAGGGATTGCGGGACCTGGCGCTGTATATGAAAGCCCTCATGGGTTTCTCCGACTCGGGTCTGGAAAGCTGGAAAAGCTGGATCTTCAAGATAATTGAACTGAACGCAAAGATGGTTGCCAAGTGGCAGGTATGTCTCTTATAATTCTTATCGTCGCCCCAAGGAGCCGCTCTGTTAATGGCGATCAACGCAGGTTTACGGATACATGAACGGCGTGATCAATACCGACAACGTCACCCTTCTCGGTCTGACTATCGACTACGGACCATTTGCCTATATGGAAGTGTTTGACGAAGGTCACATCTGCAGTGCGTCTACGCTTGATGATGGACAAGCTGGATGCTGACTGATGTCATATAGACGAAGACGACACATCAGGCATGTACGCCTACCGCCACCAGCCTTCCAGAATCCTCTTTGCCCTCCAAAAGTTCGCTATCTCCATCGCTCCTCTTGTAGGATACCTTCATCTCAACGATGGTGCGCTTCCGCAAGGGTACACAAAAGGCTCGTCGAAGGAAGATGTCAAGGAGTGGGCGACGAAGGGGGAAGAGGTGATGAAAGGCTGGAACTGGGAAGAAGAGTATTGGTCGGTTGAGAAGGGGCAAGAGCTTGATGGATGGCGAGCTGTACGTCCTGTGGCCACGTCGAGTTCAGCGCTTACCGTCACCCTACAGAGATTGGGTTTGAAGACAGTACAAGAATCTGACCAGAAACGCATCAAGGGCCTTCTCTCACTCTTGCACGACCATCGTCTCGACTTCCACAGTTCTCTCCGGACATTGGCATACTTTGACCCCATCAAGGCATCTTCCGACTCTGAGGAGGGCGACTATTTGCCAGATTTTGCCCGGCGGTTGCTCCAGGAGGCTGGAAGAGGGAAGGGAACCCACGAGGACAAGATAAAGGAGCTGGAAAAGTGGTTGGCAGAGTACGCCACACGCGCTGGTACTGCCCAAGAGCGAGCCGCTTGGTCATCTTCATCTTCAGACTTCCTTCCTACCCGTCTGGCCTCGTTCCTCTCTTTCAATCCTAGCTTCGTCCTGCGCCCTTCAATCCTCTCATCCCTGGGTGAAAAAGTAGAGGTGTTGTTGACGGCGCCATATAAAGATGCGACCAGCAAGGATGATTTGGATAATGAAAAGGTGGAGAGGGGAATTGGGGAGGCGAGAAGGGAGATCTGCAACGTTCTGGAGGTAAGTCAAGTACCAGTTGAAGGAGGAAGGGCGCTGACGGTCACTGTAGAGAGCTTCTGACCCATTTAGAGACTGGAATGAGGATAAATCATAGAGACTCGCTTTCTATTGCCGCGTTGAAAAGTCGTTGCGCGACTATTGCACGATTCTTGTCGAGGAATCTTTACCCCTTGACAGATCAGTTTGTACACCAACTGCATGCCGAAAGGGAAATTGGGTATGTATATTGATATCTCAGTACAATTACAGAACACGTCTCCTAGCGGGAGATCTTGACCTCTCTCGGCTGCTACGAACGATGATGAGCCCTGGCCCGTTCCCATATATCGAGAGACTTACCCATAGTTTCTCCTGTCCCGGTCATACCTCTCATCCCTGTGTCCCCTATCTCTGTCGTCATACCGGCTTCTGTCCCTGTCATCATACCTGCCACCCCTGTCCCTATCCCCTCTGTCCCTGTCTCCACTGCGATACCTGTCCCTCTCCTCCCCTGCCCTCTCTTCTTTCAAATCTTCGACCAGCTCTCCAGCTTCCCGCTTCACTTTGTCTCCATGACCCACGACGGGCATCTCATCCGACGGAGGAACGCGGGAGTGGTGTGGTGTGTGGGGTTCAGATCCGGAAGGACCTTGAGGAAAGGAAGGAGGGGCGAGGCCTGCTGATTTGGGGCCTGCGGGGACAGCCGCTGAGAGGCCTGGTGTGCCGTTTCCAGCAGCTAGGAGGGCAGCGGCAGGAGCAGGAGTGGGATCATCAGGCTTTGGTGATCTGGGAGGGCCGATAGGTAGAGGTCTGCCGGTCATGCGGGCTTCGGCAAAGGCGGCGAGGATCTTTCGAAGCTCGTGGTAGCCCAAATGGAGCTTACCACCGAAATGGTCGGCGAGACGTTTGTCGGAGTCGAGGACACTGAGCATAGCACCCTGTGATCTTGTCAGCTAGTCCTTGAGGAAGGGTGGAGAGGTTACTTACACAGGTCTCACAGACACGAAGCTTCTGGTGACCACTGGCACCAGCGTTCTCGTTCAAGTGCTGCAGCTCCTGTTCCTTCTCTGTCTTGAGCCCCTTGAGAGCATCGACAGCCGCCAGCTTCTCCATGGATTCTTCGACTTTACCAGCCTCACCCAAAGCCTCTATCTCTTCCGTACCACCTTGGATAGACAACTCGATTTCACCGATCTCTCGCATCTAATCCGGGTCAGCTTTCATGTCTTCCTCGTAAATATGAGAGTACGCACCAGATCAACGGTCTTCCTGTTCTCTTCCGGCGTCTTCTCCAGCTTCCGCTGACTCGCCCTTATACGCCTGTCACAATCCTCCACAAACTGATACAGATGGTTCTCATGCTCTTGTCTGAAGCCGTTGACACGGGGATCAGCGGGATGGGCCTCGGCGTGCTCCTGGAAGGATTTGAGGATACGGTCGGAGTGGACTTTGGGGCAGGGACCGAGATCCATTTTCTGCATTGCTTGTTAGTGCACTGGGGACGTATGAGTGAAGGACGGAAGGAGCTTACGGTGTTACCGAAGAGGGAGTGCAAGCATGTTCCAAACAAGAAATTCCTGCAGACTTTTTCGTTCCACCAGTCGAGATTCAAGGGCTGGATACCCATCGCTTCGGGACCCATCATTTGCTATGCCGTATCAGTCACTGTGTTTGTGGTCACTAGATCGAGTCACTACTCACTTCTAGCAGCTTGCGCTGCATTTCTGCGAGACGACCCATTTTGATAGGGAGTTGGAGGTGGTGGATGGATGGAGGTATGGAAAGGGGGACCGCACAAAGAGCGCGAAATGAAAGAGAAGAGTGGCAAAAGGGGGTACGCGGATAATTTAGTTAATCGAAGACGTTGAACGGTGAAGAACAAGTTAAGGAGGATAGGACTGACTCAACGAACTGGGTACCACGCAGATTCACTCAGTATGCATCGTAGTAGTCCTCCATCTCAACAGCACATTGACTGTATGGTGCATGATGACAGAGACAGAGACAGAGGATCAGCGACAGGATGTTGAAAGACGGAATTTGATTCCGTCATCCTCCATGGATACACTGGCATTGAGCCAGCTTTGACTACTGTATGCTACACGACCAGTCTCGTAGATCTACTAGACACGCTGGACAGCTAAGACACTTAGCCACATAGAGCCCCCTTTTTTGCTCCTCATGATGACGACTCTTTTTTAGTGAACAATGAGCGTCTTCTGACGGGTCTGAACTCATATTAGCAGCCATAAATGACTCCAGTGATCTCCTCCCACTCATCTTTGAGGCCAGTCATAGTTTACAAACAAGTCTCCCTTCATACAACCGTGATGTGCGATGATCGCGATCCTTTGACATGCAAGCCTGTCTTTCAAGTGCAGACGCTCTCGTGCAACTCACATCTGCGACTTATCCCAAGCTATGACTTCTAGTCTACCACCTCAACAAGCTCAAAATCACGCCCCTCTCCACATCCCACATACCCATCATCACAACATCACCCCAAAATGCCTTCATGGTTCTCTGGATCCCGCGGCGGTGACAGCCAGGGTGAGCCGCCACACTATTACTGTCTACAATGATTTACTGAAGCTCTACCTATCAGAAGGCACTCTCGACCCCTCCCTCCAAGAGGTTACCACCAAAAACGGCACCCAGCCCACAGGCTACCTCCTCTCTTATGTCAGCAATGGTTCATTCCTCAACGCCGACTCTGTAGTCATCAGCTTTGACGCCGTTCTCAGCCCTGAGGCTAGCTCCAATATGACAGAGGATGAGATCAAGCAGCTATCGAGGACGGCAATTAAGCTGGAGAACCTATTGAGCCGCAAGATTTCATACCTCGTGATGACGAGATATGCGGACTTGAAAAATGATAGTATCCTTAGAGAAGTGGAAGCCGCGAGCAGGGAGAGGTACGAGTTTGCTGATGAGCTGCTTAGCAGGAGTGAATACTCTGGTGGAGCACATGTCAGTTACAATAGCAAGAGAGCCATGAGAAAGGCCGCCAAAACTACGCGTACCCCCTCGACCGTGCAACCGAGTGTATGCGAAGAGGTGTTTGGTGAGATAGATGAAGAAGTGGGAGCCGGCATTACGCGCGAAGAGATTGCGAGAGAGATTGTCAAGAAGGCCGAAGAGGCAAGGAATCAAAGATAGTAATCATGTTATATAGAGTAGATTCCTGATAGGCGTGAGAAGCTCCTTGTCCCTAGTCAGCTCCAATCTTTGGAATGGCCTTCTCAAAACCGCACGGCGTAGCCACCGGGGGTTTAAAGATATGCTGCGACTGGGCAACTGTGCGAACTGAGGGAATTATCTCATATGAATACCGAACACATGTAGCTCAAAGCAGTGCACGGCATCCGGCTGCCATCCTCAGCTTTTTAAACCCGAGACAAGTCCCATCCGCAGGTCGCAGATCGTAGGCCGATCATCCAGGAGGGTGTCGCAGATCTCTGAGGGTGCCGCCGTTGCTTGCTTCTCTGCTGTCGGTGCCTACGGCCCGGTATGCTTCTTACTCTCGGAGCCTACGAAGGCATGTGTGGGTGGCCGCCGGCGACTGCTGACGAGCCCTGGCATGATAATGTCCGACAATGATGAGGTGGCTGCCAATTGCCGAAGACCGCATAAAGGGATGGAGGACTCGGGATTCACGGGAACAGTGCCTATGTGCCTACCTGAACAGAAGCCAGAAGTCGGATGATTTGGGTCCCTGGCAGGTACGGTCGCAATGTTGATGGCATGGCGTGGAATGTACATACAAGTATGTTGCTAATCGCCTCTCGTGTCTTCTCTTTTCTTGTCATCGTCGCATTCGAGCTTAGGCGGACTCCCTTGGTAAATCATGCAGTTCGTCGTCTTTCAATACCTGCATAATTTTATACATTATATGTATCTCAAAGCTTCTATAACTTTCGTCTCGGACTTAGGACCTTGGCTTGGGCGGGGAAGCGCCCCTTTTTCGACGCCCATACGTAGAAGGCTTCATCACCTGCATCACCCTCATCGGCCACCGGCCACTCATATCGGCTGTCTCACATATTCGTTTTCAGGCATACGCTGGCTGTATGGGATGCGTCTCTTTGAGATTCCAAATAAAACCCTTTGACCGTCGAACTATCCGGAAAGGATGTGACTGTCGTGGATACGAGAGCCATGAGACTGTTCTTGCTCTCATATAGCTGTCATGTACGCCGAGTCTGGCGGCTGTGCAGGGTTTTGCACTCGAAAAAGAGAACGGAAAGCTGAATAAACACCCCTTCGCGTGGATCTCGGGTATCGTTTTTGAGGGTTCGGCGCGTCATAACCAGGGACCGGAGTAAAGCAAAAGCATAATCGCCCTTCTTTCAGGGCCGACCATCCTCCGTGGCCTCCGTAGGGTACGGACCGGCATTTCATCCATGTCCTCTGTCTTTGCTACCTATGCTATGCAGCTCCTTGTGGCTGTAGTGGCTGAGTCATTCACTCACTGCGGCCTGACCCCGAAAAAAAAGTGGTTGCCTGAGGCCTATAAAAGTCCTATGAGGTCTCTTCCTTCCTCTTCGTACTCTTCTCCAAATCGACGTTCCCGGCACGTCTTCGACCTCAGCATGTCCTCCATCATCCCTCTCCTCCTTCTCGCCTCGCTTGTCAATGGTGCTGCGGTCCATCCTCACAATGAGCGCCGTTATCTCTGGGGTTCTTGGTCCTCCAACACCGACAGTCAGCAAGACAGCTCTAGCTATTGGAGTAACTCGAACGGCTGGGGCAACAGCGACTCAACCTCCTCCACCACCTCGTCCCAAGCCGCCACCTACCTCGCCCAAGCCCAGTCTGGCGTGAGCGGTCTCGACCAGGGATGGTCTGCTGCTGGCTGCTACGACGACTCGTCCCATGCCAGGACCCTCGCCAGCGCCTCCACTTCTTCTTGGTGGATGACCTACTCGACTTGTACCACTTTCTGTGGCAGCAGGGGTCATACCTATTCTGGTGTGGAGGGCAGCAACTGCTACTGCTGTATGTTTCTTCTGTCCTTTTCTTCGCTCATATGCTGACTTTCGACTAGCCAACTCTATCAACAGCGCATCTTCCATCCAACCTTACTCCAAGTGTTCAGGTATCTGTGGCGGTAACTGGTTCGAAGATTGTCCTAGCACCAACTTTATCAACGTTTTCACCAACTCCAAGACGGCCACCTCTTCTTCTACTGCCAAAACTTCTACCTTTTCTCCGACATCTACCTCCATCGCCAAGGTGTCCATCACATCTCCTTCTGCCTCGGAGTCTACCATGAAGAGCTCCGCTCCTGCTTTCGCCAGCTCCAGCTCTACTGCCGCCGAGTCGTCCAGCATTCCTTTTGTCGACACCTCGGTCATCTCTGCCGCTCATACCACCATCAGCTCTGCTGTTTCCTCTGTCGCTTCCGAGGCTAGCCAGGCTGTGAGCAGCGTCTCTGCCCAGCTCAACACTACCTCTGTTGCTTCTCAGATCCAGAGCGTCGCCTCTCAGGTCAGCTCCGCCGTCCCTGCTATCAATACCACCTCTGTTGTTTCCCAGGTTCAGAGCGTTGCTTCCTCCGTGGCCTCTTCCGTCGAGTCTGTCCCTACTTCTGTCGCCTCTCCTGTCATCTCCGAGGTTTCCTCCATTGCCAGCAGTGCTTCTGCCCAGGTCAGTTCTGCCGTTGTAAGTCAATATCGCCTCTCTCACGATTTCATCACTAACACTTGACCAGGCAAACGTGACTTCTTCTGTCACCTCCGACGTTGCCAACGCCACCTCCGCCGTCTCCTCCATCTACTCTGAGGCTACCGAGGCCGCCAGCTCTGCTATCTCCAGCGTCGCTTCCGACACTAGCTCTGCCATTTCCGAAGAGTCCTCCGCCGTCTCTACCATCGCTGAGATCGCCAGCTCTGTCACCTCTTCCGCCGCTACTGCTGCATCCAGCGCCGTCTCCAGCTTGCCCACTGGGTGGGAGGTGTCTGCTTGTATCGCCGAGGGTACTTCGGGCCGCGCTTTGCCTGAAACGTCTACATCTAGCAGCGACATGACACAGTCCATGTGTGCTTCCTTCTGTTCCGATGCTGGGTATAGTCTCGCCGCTATTGAGTATGCTAGCGTGAGTGTCCATCTCCCTTTGCATGGCATTGACTTGACTGACAAGCGAATAGGAATGCTATTGTTCAGACCTCCTCCAGAACGGCGCTTCTCTCACCAAGACTTCTTCAGCATGTACCATGTCTTGCTCCGGTGATTCCGACGAGATCTGTGGCGGCTCCTCTGCTCTCACCCTCTTCGTCAACACCACCGCCATCGCCAGCCTAAACGATGACCTTACTGCCGGGATCGTCACCTTGCCTACCAACTGGAGCGTTCCCTCGACCAGCTGTATCCCCGAAGCGTCCAGCGGCCGTGCGTTGACTGGCTCTTCTTACACTTCCTCCGACATGACTCTTGCCACGTGTGCTTCTTACTGCACTTCTGAAGGCTACGGTATTGCGGGTGTCGAGTACAGGTACGCTTCTTCATGTTCTTTCTTCTTGATAGTTTTCTGATGATCTCAAAGCACGGAGTGCTACTGCGGCAACATGCTCAGCAACGGCGTCTCCCTCAACGACTCTAGCTCGAGCTGTACCATGACTTGTGGCGGTGACGGCACAACCTTCTGCGGCGGATCAGGCGCTCTCTCTATCGCCGTCTCTTCGACCATCACCTCAAAGCTCAGCAGCGACCTGACCACCGAGATTATCACCCTCCCCACTGGCTGGTCGGCTGCCAGCAGTCCTTGTATTTCTGAAGCTACTTCCGGCCGAGCTCTTGCTCATGCGTCTACGGCTTCGGACGATATGACCATCGAGACTTGTCTCGATTTCTGTGATGCTGCTGGATGGCAATACGCTGGTATCGAATACGGGTTTGTTCCTTCTCTTCTCGATGGTTTGTCGTGAGCTGACCTGCGCACCAAGTCGTGAATGTTACTGTGGCGACTATCTTGCCAACGGTGCTTCCCTCGATCTCACCGCCACTTGGTATGTATCAGCGCTCCACAACACAATGTTGCAGAATGAGCTGACAGCTGCATAGCAACACTGCTTGCGCCGGTGACGATATGAGCATTTGTGGCGGCAGCAACGCCCTCTCCCTCTACGTCAACCCTTCCCTCGCACTCAACCTCACCGTTGTGCTCGGCTACCACCTCCAAGGCTGTGTGCAAGAGGTCACCGGGCGACTTTTGGCCAACAGCTCCTACACCTCCTCCAACATGACTGTCGACGCGTGTGTTGGCTTCTGTTCCGACCAAGGTCTTTCTATTGCTGGGTAAGCTCTATTTTTCTATTGACATTCGTGACTGTGGCTGACTCTCATTGAAGTGTGGAATACGGAGAAGAGTGCTACTGTTCCAGCGCCCTGACCAGCTCTCCCCTCCTCTCGACCGAGTGTAACATGGCTTGCGCTGGTGACGACTCTGAGAACTGTGGCGGAGCTGATGCGATCGAGCTCTACTTGGCTGCCGGATCTGTCCTCTCCGTTCTCTAGTCAATTGAGCCCGGGGAATAATATGCGCTTTGACTGTGCCACCATATTTCTAGTAAAATAATGCACCTAAGTACCAAGTTTGCTCTGCCGCCGCCTTAATGACACCTTGAGATGGCGGCTGGGTCTTGCCTGCTACCTGTTGCTATACATTCGAGAGACATCTTCTTCATCACCTAGCCTCTTTCACCCAATGCGTCAGAAAATGGACAGCGTCGACTCTCGGTCGTTTTTATGCGGATCAGGCGTCCACACTCCAGTGTCATTGGACGACGGTCAGGCTGTTTATGCAAGTTTTTGTTTCGCGAGAGGTTATGCAAGTAGGCATTGCAATGAGAATCCCATAACCATGGGCATGCAACTGGTCAACAAAGACAGCAAGCATGAAAAAGAAGCAAAGATGAGATGACACTTTGAGTGCCACACCCTTATAACGCCGCTCGCGGGGAGCGATGATGTCGACGGCTCTTTGGATGGCGTCGAAGCCCCTCCTGATACCCTCAAAGCACCAAAAACCATGTACGGCCAGCTGCGTGTCGCCCAGAGGGCTTCTGGGATCAAGGGTCCCCAGCGAAGAGTAAGTATAGCCGGCGTCAAGACCGGGGGTGAGCTAACGCAACGTAGCTCTTCGCGACCCCTCCCACCCCTCCCCCTGCCGGGACCACCATCGTCCGACCCCATGTCGTGTCCATCCCTCCCCCCGGCGCCCCTGGCACCACCACCCTCGCCACCCCTCCCCCTGTCCGAAAGACCCACCGTTTCAGGAACTTTCTCATCTACACCACCCTCGGCACTGTCGCCTTCTACGCCGGGTCCGGATATGCCGGTACCAAGTCTGAGGGCTACAGAGATCTGTTCACCACATATGTCCCCGGTGGAGAGTTTGTCGCCGACTATGCGGAGGAGAATGGATGGGAGAACTTGACCGGAAAGGTGGTGAAGGGGTACGAAAAGCTGGCTGGCAGGCCTGAGACCCGAGTAGAGCGGGTCGAGAGGAAGGTCGGCGAGATCCCTGGGCAAGTCAAGGCTGCGGCCGTGGACGTCAAGGACAAGGTCACTCCCACTCCCCCTACTGCTTCTGAAAGGCTCGCCGACAAGGCTGCCGAGTTGAGCAAGCTCGCTTCTGAAAAGACCAAGGAGGCCGAGGAAAAGCTCAAGGCTCTCGCTGAGGAGGCCAAGGGAAAGGTCCAGGAGGCTACCAAGGACGTGCCCTTTAACCTGTCTGAGGGCGCTGAAGAGCTTGTGCGCAAGGCTGAGAGTGCGCTCGGCAAGGTCGAGCACAAGGTTGAGCACAAGGCCGAGGAGGTCAAGAAGGAGGTCACCAAGCCTTCCAGCCCCTTCCCCGACACCCAGCGACCCCGTGAGCTCACTCCCGTCGGCGTCACCCCCCAAAAGCCTTCCTACGAGGGCAAGAAGCTCTACACCGGTCCTCCCCTTCCCCTCGGTCACGAGCCTCCTCCCGGCTACTACCTCGCCCCTCCCGTGAATACTGTCAAGCAAAAGGTCGAGAACAAGGTCGAGGAAGTCAAGGAGAAGCTCCCCTTGCTCGTTCCCAAGGTCAAGGAGTTTGCCGCTGAAGAACCCATCATCTCCCAACTCGCCTCTACCATCGACTCCCTCACATCGTCCCTCTCCACTCCCGCCAAGGCGCTTTCTCCCGACGCTACTGGTATCCTCTCCAGGGCCCAGGATGACCTCACCGCTTTGAACACTCGATTGCAAGAGGTCAAGAAGCTGGAGAAGGAGCGATTGGAGAAGACTTTGAGCGAGAAGAAGGCCGAGTTTGAGGCGTTGTTGAAGAACAGGGACGCTGAGAAGGACAAGTCTGAGGAAAGCTTGAAGCAGGGCTGGGTCAAGGAGAGGCAAACGCTTGTGGATGACTGGAGGAAGGAGCTCGAAGGAGAGTTGGAGCACCAGAGACAGGGTATTGAGACAAGGTGTGTCGCTTCTCTTGGTGATGATCCATGCTGACCTCTTTTCAGACTTCGTGAGGAAGTTGTCTCTCAGGGTATCGAGCTCCAGCGACGCTGGCTCCGTTCTATCAAGACTCAGGTCGAGACCGAACGAGGAGGCCGTCTCGCCAAGCTCGACTCTCTCTCCACCTCTCTCAAACAGCTCGAGCGCATCACCCTCGACAACTCTGCCACCTTGGACGACAATGTCCGTCTCCACAAGCTCTGGTCTGCCCTGAGGGCCGTGCAGGGCAAGGTTGACAAGGGAGACGTCTCTTTCGACGATGAGCTCCGTGCGTTGAAGACTTTGGGTCTGAACGAGGGTGTCATCAAGACTGCTCTCGCCCAGCTCGAAACCAGCGGCATCCCCCAAACCGGCGTCAAGTCCTTCCCCGCCCTCTCATCATGGTTCACCAACACCGTCGCTCCCCGAATCCAATCATCCTCCCTCGTCCCCGCCCCCGAAGAGGCTTCCGTCCTCTCCCACCTCGCCTCCGCGACCTTGTCCAAGGTCCTCTTCCGCCCTACTGCTGGACGTGTACCAGGAGAGAGTGTGGGAGCTACGTTGGCTAGGGCGGAGTGGTGTTTGGGTCAGAAAGATTTGGATGGAGCGGCGAGGGAGGTTAACAGTTTGACGGGATGGCCGGCCAAGTTGGCGGCTGACTGGTTGGTGCAGGCGAGGAGAAAATTGGAGGTGCAGCAGGCTCTCGAGGTGAGTCTATATGTTCATCACGAGAAACATCATTGACAGTTCACAGGTCGTGGCGACCGAGGCCACTTTGGACTCTTTGCTTTTGGCCTAAAATATAAACATGCATAACATGAGAACGTGCTCGCTCACAGAGTGCTCCAAGCTAACTTGTGTAGTACATGCGTAATAGTCTCGTGAAGTTCAAGACATGATACTATTAGTCAAGAATCGCGACTACTCCCACGCCTTCTTGATCTTTCTCGAACTCTTCCGTCCCACCAGCGGCCCTTCGCTAATCATCCTCAGCCCACCCCCGCTCCCATTCGTACCCGTCGACGAACAAGTGGCCGTCCCGTCCTCGCTCATCCATTCCCCATATAGCGTCCCCACATACATATCCGTCACACTCGCCTGCCTCCCCAAACTCCCCTTTCGCTGCCCATCCCACTCGACTACCTTGTCCTGATGATGATCCAGGAGAAACTCTTCTTCGTCGTTCATGAACTGGCCCGTGGAGAAGGAGCCTACTTGAGACGAGGAGAGGTGGAAGGTGGAGAGGTTGGCTGTGGAATGGCCGGGTTTGGGTTGAGAGGGGGATTGGGGGGCGGTCAGATAGGCGAGGCTGTCGGCGAATGATTCGGTAGAATCATGCTTCTGAAGGTTTGATACTGTCAGAAGTGAGCGGACAGGAGAGCGCTCGGCGGCTGGAGACATGCCCATTCGTTTGTAGGCTTGGAGTTCACGTTTGGAAGGTGAGTTTTCAGGCGTGATCTCGCCGAGAGGGGATGATTTTTCGGTATAGGGCGTCTTGGCCTTGGGACGGAGGCTGCCATCCGACTCGGAAATGATCCCGCCATACAAGCTCTTTGGTACAATCACCCTATCCTCCCCCGACTTGAGCTTGTCGGTCGATTTTTTGGATTTCTCAGGCGCTTTGCGAGGCTGACGAGTCGACGTCATGCGCTGAATCAGGTCAAGAGCTTCCGAGCGGTCGAGTGACCCCTGGCTGGGCTTGTGTCGGCGGATGGGTGGGATGACGACTGGCTCTGGCTCGTCGGGCGGCATCGACTGGCTTCGCTGGCGGGAGGGTCGCTCATGCTTGGGTCGCGAGGATGGCGGGGCAGAGCTCTTTTTGGGCCTGGCCTGTTTGGGCCTTGAGATGGGCGAAGCAAACACATCGTCGCCACTGATCGACAGTGGCGGGAGCGACGGCGTCGTCTCTGCCGAACGAGGCACCTCCTTCTGCGCGTACCCCCTCTTCGGCTTTGGTCTCTCCGGTGTCGGCACGCCATACGAGCCCACGTGCAACGGCCCTGGATACCTGCTCTCTGGTAACTTGTCCAACGACTGAAGCCCCCGGATAAGCGAGTCGGCGCGGCCGATGAGAGGTGAGGGAGAGCGGGTTGTGCTGGTGCTGGGACGGCCATTCTCCGAGCTTCGGGAGGGTCTGTTGCCATCCTCACTGGGGCGGTGCACGACGATGAGGTCGGAGAGGTCGGAGCCTTTTCGGTGATGTCTCTTTACGAGGGGGGTGCAGCCTGCGACGGTGTCGTCTTGGCGGGTGGGGGGACGAGTACTGGGAGGACGAGCACTGGCAGGGCGGCTGGGCGTGGAGTAGCTGGAGAGCTTGAGAAAGTTGGGAAAGTAATCGGATACGGGTCGAGAGCGTGTTGGAGTGGGCGCCGACTTTGGTGGCGAGACGAGCATAAAGTCGCTCGCTATGGGCGAACCCGTACTCCTGTCTTTTGTCAGTGTGTATCCTACCCAGTCCTATGAGCACTCACTCCTTCTTTTCAGCACGCGTAAACATCTTTCTCAACCCCCCGCTGATACTCCTTTCCCCGGACTTTTTTCCTCCGACTGCTGTTCTCGAACTCTCACTCCCCCAGTCTGACCAGCGGCTGACGAGCCCGGGGCGACTGCCCACGCTGCTAGGTGTCTGGATTTCTGCTAGGGGAGAGGGTTGGAGGCCACTTTTAGACGCGCGGGGTGTTGGGGATCGGTAAGGGAGGAGTGGGAGGGCGGGGGTGTTTGTTGAGGCTGCGCGGCTGGAGGGGCGGGTAGAACTGGATGGCTGGGGGGTCGATGTGGGCATGGCTGGGGTGGCTCCAAGAGAAAAGAGAAAAGATACTGGCAAGAGGGGAGGAAGATGAGAGGCAAATGAGAAATCAAGATGGAAAATACACAGGGATGGGAACGATCGGCGGTGTCAAAAGTCACTCGCGCACGGGCCACCAAGGGCGTACCGGGGCTGATGTCAGACATCACTCAACATGTCGTCAAACCCTCTGTATCTCATGCATCGTACCCCATATAGGTGCAGAGTCATCAGCAAGCTTCCCCGTCGCCATGTCAGCTCGGTTAAGACAGCTTCAAACTATCCCGCAACAAATCCTCGACGGCCTCATCACCCACTTCTCCGAACAATCTGGCAGGAAGCACGCCGTCACAGAAAAGATTAAAGCCAAGCTGTGGTCTTGGATCTGTCTGCTCTATCTGACGTCGGATGGGTACTCGGTGGAGGTTGGGAGGATTGCGAAGGATTTGAAGATGGAACCCGCCAAGTGAGCTTTACGCCTTCAGTTTGGACAGCGCTAATGTGGCAATATAGGGTTGCGACGTACTACAAGCAGCTCGGTTGTAACGTCAAGCTCAAGGCATCACCCTTGCTGAAGCGGGGCAAATGCGTCGAGCGTCATGGTTTCGCCTGTCACGTGCCCCAGGACTAAGAGACGCGGACTTGCTCAGCACTAAAAGTCGTCAGAAGGTCGGTCGTTACATGTCGTGCTGTCATGAGAAACGTGAAGGGTCGTATATGATTAGGATATCTTGTGTTTCTGGTTCTTACAAGTAATTATGGCATATATACAAAGTCGAACGCCAGAAAGCCAGAGTGAAGAAAAGCAGAAAAACCACAAGCGAAAGAAGGAAAAAGGCGTCACTGAATTCAGACCCTTCTCCTAGGTCCCCTCGGTCCTCGTTGCCCGGCTTCCCTCTGCGCCGCGTCCCTCGCGCTCGCCAGCATGCGCCTGGCCTGCATAGCCCCAGGATGCCCAAATCCGATGGCCGCTCGCTTTACAACCACTCTTCTCCCCAGCGCCTTTTCGGCCGAGGCAGTTTTGAGGTCGAGCCAAACGAGTTGGCCCAACTTCTCCGGCTCTTCTGGATATGGCACGGTGGTGGCGGTGGTGGAGAGGTGTAGGGTGGCAGTAGGGGAGTGGTTGGGAAGGGGGGAGGGGATGCGAAATCTGGAGTGATTGGTCGACAGGGAGGGGTCCTGGAAGATACGTGGAGATGCAGGGGAGGAAGAGGCGACAGCGTTGAGAGGCAGCAAAGGACGCGTCTCATGCTCGAAACCGTTGTCGTCGGGCTGGGATTTGGCGTCTCAAAGTCCAGGAGGAAGGACAAACGGATAGAGCTTTGAGCGGGGGTCGACAGTGGGTCTGGTCGTTGTGTTAGTTGGGACGTGCGCATGGACAACAGAAGAGGTGACTTACAGAAATTTTCGGGACTCGACAGAAGGCTTTGACCACTCCTCCAGCTCAACAGGCTTGGGAAGAGGGGAAGGAGTCTGCTCAGGAGATGGAGGCTAGAAAAAAAGTCAGTGCCATGTTGGAAGAGTGCCATGTTGTAAGAAAGGATGGGTGACTCACCTGGGCATCTTCCATGTCTACGTCTAGCCCTTCAAACCTCTCAGCAAGGCTGGCGAGTGTTCAAGAAGGCGAAGGCGGAGGCGTCAAGCGCCAGAAGTGGGGCTTCTGGTGAGCTTTGACAGGCTCCTCGATCTGACGAGAGTCGGAATGCAGGTCGTCACTGACCAACGTATCGGCAGAGGGCGATCGTACCAAAGGAGAGGCGCCAGAGGCGTTTCGAGCAGGAGTGAAGACGACGCCGCTCTTTGCCGAGTCAAGAGAGGAGGTGGGCGAAATGTCGCGAGGAGGAGTGACAAGAAGGTTAGAGTGGAGTGACCTGTTGGCGGGGGACATTTTGCAGGGTGGTATGAGATGGGCGAGCGTCTATCGAATAACGTATGGGAGCAGTGTAGGGAGGATACCGTACAGTGGTGTAAGCAAGCTTGAGATGGGGATAGATTGGCCTCAACCGGAAACCTATTATATGAGCGTTGAACAATGAACAATAAGAGTGCTGTGCTACAAGCCGCATGCTCTCTGCATCATTAGGGTCCACGCATTGCCCCTTCTTGGACAATGAAGGAGAATGTATAAGCTTAGACTATTCGATCATCAACTGAACGTATCTTCATCGTTCGTTACCTTTCGTGGAATAAAGGCATCAGAGGAGAGAGTGGACAGGGGCACCTGTTTCGTAATGTGGAGGCAATCGCACCTTCCAATTGTTCTCGCTGTGGATGCTTAGGGACGAGCAAAGGGGCGTGACGAGTGGGTGAAGGGGGCCATTGTTTCTGGTGGGGCAATTCAGGTTCATGCCGCAAGCTGCCCCTGCCCCTGAAACGAAGCTGATCGCGAAAGACCAAAAGGCAGAGAACAGCGAATAGACTTTTGAACTAGCATTCATCGCGCGGCTTCCAAAGCCGCGCGGACTATCGGATTATCAGTCCATTTACGTCCGTCACCCGGGCTGGATTAAGAACTCAGCAAGTGGTTGTTGCATGAAAATGGGTATACTCGCACAGGATAAGGTTGACATGCATGCACAAGATCTACAAGTACGAGTACGTCCGCATGCAGACAAAAAAACTTTCACTCCTTTTGTTTCCCCTTGCCCCTTCTAAGCGGTTCCTGCGGGGTGGGGGTAGACGGACCAGCTTCATTGGAAGTATCGGCGGCCGCCAAGAGGTTATCCCCGTCGTTCGCATCAAAGAAGGAAGCAGTGGCGCTCACTGTTACGCTTCGTTAAACAGCCGTTTCTCTTTTGTTTTGGGGTTTTGATCTTTGGAAGCACGAAGCTGTAACGACCATTTGAAGCGAAGCTTCTCAAAGCGAGTGCCGTAGGCAAGGCGCAGAAAAAACGGGAAGGGTATACAATGCATTGGTATACAAGGTCGGACTCCAGCGACCGCACGGCTAATAACATGTCAGCGCACATCTCGAATACTCATGGCATGTCACCCACTTTCTATCCACCATGAAGGGTAGAGATGAAAACAACCTCGTCCCTATCTCTCAACTCATACTCCAGCTCACCCTCAAGCTCCCAGTCCGCGTCATTTATCAGTACCAGAATGCCCGGACGACTATCCCACCTCAGTCAGCTTTATCCTCGAATGCTTATGGGGCTAAGGGGACATACACTCCATCACCTTCTCCAAACATCTCCTCCCTCTCACTCAGCAAGTTCTCTTTCATCCACTTGACGACGTAACGCATATTCAGCGGTTGGGCTGGGGTGGTGTCGGGGATGAAACGCGGTAGACGAGCGACGTGTTGGGGTTTGGAAGAGAAGAGAAGATGGAGGCCGCCGCTAGCATTGATCGTCAGCTGTCGTACATGTATACCAGTAGCTGGTAGGTAAGATGGACGTACCCAAATTCGAATCTTACTTCCAAAGTATCCTCCGTAGACACTACCGGAGCTGCTGACACCTGCTGCTGCTGCTGCTCTTTCGCCGCGGCCCCAGAGACGTATCCCAAGCCATTTGAGTTTGTGATAAAGCCGTCAGAGTTGGACATTGTTGATGTTGAGTCTTGCCAGACAGTGATGAGGGGATGAGGGACAAAAATGTCAGAGGAGATGAGCGCAAGTACCGCCGCAAGGCCGCGGGCGGCAAAAACAATTCCGGGTTTCCCACGGTCGTCAACCTATACCAATGGACTTTGGACTGAAGACAGATACTTTACAGTATGACCTGTCTTCGAATATACGCATGCCAATGATGGGGGACCAGCCTGTTGGGTAATTTGACTTTGGGTCACGCGAATACGGTACTTGGCAACGATGGTTTTGGGGATAGTTTTGGGGTCGAATAACAGTGCGACTGCATGCGCTTTCAAGTGACTATGCGGCTTGGCTTCCAATAACACTCTATGATATACGAAAATGAGAACGAAAACAGCCAGACTGCACACGGCAGATATCACGATGACGACTCACAACACTCCTTCCTGTTGAGCAAGTGGCGAAAGTCGGTCGACGCAGAACGTCAAGTCCTCCTACATGTCTCAACATACGTCTTCACACCTGAAGTGATCCTCTGACTCCCATCTTCACTCTTCAACCAGACTCCACCAGCTCTCTCTGCTGCCCTCTTGGCCAACCAGAACGCCAACACACTGCCAAACTTGATCTGAACATAGCCTTCGTACTTGGTATGCTCAGAGCAAAGCGCGGCGATGTCTTCCCCCAGATCCTTGCCCACCCGGCGAGGAGATTCAAAGTTGTTGGAGTTATAGATACTCTGGAGGATGGAAGAGAGGGTGCGCACGTCGGCGGCAGAGGCAGGGTGGGGACCGTCAGGGTTGCGGGAGACGTGGATATAGGTTTCGGTGTCGGAAAAGTGCGATCCACGGAGCCAGTTTCCGTGAGTCACACAAGTAAAGATTAATCCTCGGGGAGCTTGGCCCTTGGGGACGTAGTAGCTGGCGAGGGTGGGCTGGATGCTGATTCGCTTGCCAACATGGGCGGCGGCGGCGGCGGCGGCGTGGGAAGCAACTGAGAATTCGCGTCAGCTATCTTGCTATCAAATACTAGATGGATGGTACTCACGACTCTGCTCTCGATAGACACTGAGTACGGACTCTAGGTCGGCCTTCTCGTCAAGAATGTGGACGGATGGAGTAGACTTCTCAGTATTCTCAGTAGAGATAGAAGACATCGTTGGTGGTGGGGTGTGGGATCTGTGGTGGGTGTTGTGGCGAGGATGAGTGGGTGAGAAACGTTGAATTGTATCTCCAAGGGGGGCATATATATGCATTGGAGGGACGAAAAACATGTACGGGTACGACGTGAACGGAGGAACAAGTGCAGCGGAACAAGGAGTAAGGCGGCAAAAAGACAGCAGGAGCTTGCGGAATACGACAAAACCCGGCAAGCATTGCTGTCATTGCGCTGCATGTCTAGCGGGACGCACAAGGTCAACTTATGAGACGTCCATAATGCTAAAAGGAGCATTCTAGAAGGAAGACATCGTAGTAATGGATCAGAGAGGTATCGACAGGCTACGGAATTGTGGCAGAATTGCCATCTGCTTCATTCAACTCCGCTGTACTTCCGCAACTTCTTCTGCCATGTCCCAAGATACGAGAGAGCATTTTGAATCATGATACAAATCCATCTTCTACATCCATCTTCTACTATATTTTGCTTTGATATCTGCACTGTTCTTCAAAAGAGACGACGAGCATACTATCCCCTCCGCAAAATTAGCAAACGGCCACCCTTGATTCAGTACCACCATCATCATCCTCAATCATCCTATCTTCCTGCTCCACTCGTTCTGATCTCCCAAAGATGTCGTGCTACTACGGTCTCCCAGCATTCTACGACCAATACCGAGAATGTAAAGCGCCGCATCCTCCCTGCACGATAGTCTGGACTGACTTGGGCCGTCATCAGCCAACTTAGAAGCCACTATCCGCTTCCTCAACTCCTCTCCCACCACCACTTTCCACTACCGTCACCGAACCCAGCCCGTCGGTTATCTCTACACCCATATCGGCAAAAGCTCTTTCCTCGACGCCCATCGTGTCTCTGTCCGATGTTGCGCCTTCATCAACCCTGCACTTAACGGTGAGATGGATAAGAAGGAGATTCAGAAGGTTATGAGGCAGGGCAAGGAGTTGGAGAAGCTTATTGAACGCAAGATTGCAGAGAGCGTGATGGCGCGCTGGGCAAATCTCAAGAACGGTTCCATCAAAGAAGAAGTGGCGTACGCTATCAGAGCGAGAGACAGGTCGGTCGAAGAGCTGCTCGGTTACTGCGGAGGGTACACTGCATGGACTCATGTGGCATTCGAGACCAAACAGGAAATGGGAAAGGCCTTGAAGAAGTGCGCGAGGGGATGCTAGGTATTGGCGAGTTGAGAAGAGATGTATGGACCATAGCTTTGCTCATGTCATCTTTGCCATCCTTTCCTCGCCAAGACATCGGTGCAAGAAGATTACAGGATGATATGCATTATAACGTAGAGTAGCAGACAGCATATGATACCCCGGTAGATAGTACGGAGTACTAGATTGTCCATTCTAAAGTCAATTAGAGGACAGAAAGGACGGAACCATCAGCCAAGTAAAGCTTGATGGCATTGGCACCACCGCAGTTCTCGGTAGAGTCACCAGCGCACTCCATGTTACACTGAGTAGAGAGGACTTCGGCGCTGGTGAGGGCGGAACCACAGTAGCATTCACGACCGTACTCCAAACTACACATTCCGTCAGCCTTGCTCAAACAAAAGAGAAGGAGAGGACGTACCCGGCAAGAGCAAGACCCTGGTCAGAGCAGAATCCAACACACATGTCGACGGTCATAGAGTCGGAAGCGAAAGAGTTGTTGGACAAGAGTCGACCAGTGACTTCCTGGACACAGCCCTGGAGGTTGTAGCCGAGGACGGTGGTAAGGTCGAGGGCGAGGCTGGGGTTGTTGTAGAGAGAGAGGGCGTTACCGCCACCGCAAATCTCGGTGCTTTCACCGCCGCAAGCAACGTTACTGTAACACGGTCAGTGAGGTGAATGAGGAGAGAGAGGAAGCGCTTACCAGGTGGCGGTGAGGTCGAGGGAAGCGCCGTTAGCGAGGTAGTCGCCACAGTAGCATTCACGTCTAACATCCATATCAGCCACTCTCCTATCATGAAAGAGTAAGAAAAGACGTACCCGTACTCAATACCAGCGTATTGCCAGCCAAGGTTGCCACAGTAAGAAAGGCAAGTGGAGAGGGTCATGTCGTCAGAAGAGTACGACGCAGAGGCAAGCGCTCGGCCAGAAGTACCCTCGGCGATACAGGTAGTGCTAGCGGCCTCCCAACCGGTAGGGAGGGTGACAACGGCAGTAGTGAGGTCGGAAGAGAGCTTGGAGGTGACGGTGGAAGAGACGGCGATAGAGAGGGCGCCGCTACCACCGCACATGGTGGTGCTGTCACCAGAGCAGGCCATGGTACAGGCGGAGCTGGAGAGGGTGAGGGAAGCACCATTGTTGAGCTGGTTACCGCAGTAGCATTCCTATACACTCTGTCAGCATGATACTTGAGAGGGAAGAGGGGACGTACGCTAGAGTACTCGACACCGGCAATGCCGTAGCCCTCAGAAGTACAGTAAGAAGAGCACTTGGCGAGGGTCATGTCGGAAGAGGAGTAGGAAGAACCAGTCAAAGCTCGGCCAGTAGTACCCTCAGCAATACAGCTGGTGGAAGGGACGGACCAGTTGGTGGGGAGAGAGACGGTACCGGAGGTAAGGTCGGTGTTCAAGCTGGCGATAGCGGTGGCGTTGGCAATGAGGGTAAGAGCGGAGGGTCCACCACAGATGGAGGTGCTGTCACCGGAACAAGACATGGTGCACGCGTCAGAGGTCTTGGTCAGGGAAGCACCGTTCTGGAGGACGTTGGAGCACCAGCATTCCTATAATCATGGTCAGCATTGGCCTAAAGAAGGGAGTAGGGGACTTACGCTAGCGTACTCGATAGCGGCGAGGGTGTAACCAGCGTTGGAGCAGTAAGAGACACACTTGGCCTGGGTCATGTCGCTGCTAGAGGTAGAAGTAGCGGGCAAGGCTCGGCCAGAGGTACCCTCGGCGATGCAAGCGGTGACAGTCCAGCCAGTAGGCAAGCTGGAGACGGCGCTGGAAGCGGCGGCGGCGGCAGAAGAGATGACAGAGGTAGCCTCCTCGACAACGGAAGAAACGGCGGAGGACTCCTCGGAGAGGACAGAGCTGTAAGCAGAGCTGATGTCGGAAGCGACGCTGGAGATGGCAGAGCTGGCGGCCTCGGTAGCCTCAGAGTAGATGGAGGAGACGGCGGAAGTGGCGTTGGCAAAGTCAGAGGCGATAGAAGAAGTCACGTCGGCCTGGTAAAGTGTTAGTGATGAAATCGTAAGAAAGGCGGTATTTACTTACAACGGCAGAGCTGACCTGGGCAGAAGCACTGCTGGCAATGGAGGAAACCTCGGAGATGACAGAAGAGGCGACAGAAGTAGGGACAGCCTCGACAGAAGAAGCCACAGAGGAAGCAACGCTTTGAGCCTGGGAAACAACAGAGGTGGTGTTGATAGCATCGACGGCGGAGCTAACCTGAGAGGTGACGCTCTGGATCTGAGAAGCGACCGAGGTGGTGTTGATCTGGGCAGAGACGCTGCTCACGACCTGGCTAGCCTCGGAAGCAACAGAGACGACGGCAGAGGAGACGACGCTCTGAGCAGCAGAGATAACCGAGGTGGTGTCGACAGTAGGAACGCTGATGGTAGCGATGACGGCGGCGGTGGAAGTCTTGGCCACAGAGCTGCTGGAAGCAGAAGTAGACTGAGCGGTGGTAGACTGGGCCACAGAGGTGCTGGAAGTGGACGACTTGGCGGCAGAACTGCTGGAAGAGGCGGCAGAGCTCGAGCTCAAGCTGGCGGGCGAAGTAGAGCTCTTCGCAGTAGAGGTAGAGGCAGCAGATGAGGTGGTAGAGGTCTTGGCGGTAGAAGTAGCAGCGGTAGAAGTGGCCGCAGACGACGTCTTGGCAGAGGAGGTGGTAGTAGAGCCCTTGGTGAAAACGTTGATGTAGTTGTTGCTGGGGCAGTCCTCGAACCAGTTACCGCTGCAAATACCGGAGCACTTGGAGTAGGGCTGGATAGCAGACTCACTGTTGATAGTGTTGGCTAGTCGAGAGTCAGTAAACGAGTAAACGAAGAGACAAAGAACGTACAGCAGTAGCAGTTGCTGCTCTCAACACCGGCATAGGTGTAGCCCTTGTTGCCACAGAAAGTGGTACAAGTCGAGTAGGTCATCCACCAAGAGGAAGTGGAGGCGCTGGCGAGGGTCCTGGCGCTGTTGGAGTCGTCGTAACACCCCGCAGCAGACCACCCCTGGTCGAGACCGCTCACGCCAGACTGAGCCTGGGCAAGGTAGGTGGCGGCCTGGGAAGAAGAGGTGGTGCTGCCAGAATTGCCTTGGCCGTTGGAGGTGCCCCATGACCAGAAGAGGTCACGGCGCTCGTTGTCGGGACGGATGGCGGCACCGTTGACAAGGGAGGCGAGGAGGAGGAGGGGGATGACAGAAGACATGGTGGGGGGTCGGGAGGAAGAGTGGTCGAGGTAGTAGGGGCAAGGGCAAATGAACGACGATGCTGTAAGTACGGGTGGGGAATGACAACATGCAAGAGGCTGCTTATATGCATTGGAGCACTTTTCAGTCTCGGCGCCAGGCAAGCGCGCGAAAAGAGTCGGGGATCGGTGTGCCTGGAAGGTGACACCTGCAGCCTAGGAACCGGCTCGGATGGGTGCCTGAATGATTGTCCCGGCCCCTGATCCCTGCGCCAGATGACTGCACCTCCTGAGATCTTGGTGTTATTTCGGCATTTGACAGTCGCGCCTGTCTCGGGTTTTTGCCTCTTTCGCGCATGATTTGTGAGGTTTAACACTTAACCTATTGGTGGCTTTCCATTTCCTGTTCCCTACTGTACGTCTTTCATTACAATGTCGTACTGGACGAGACTTCAATAGGTCCGCTTCCCGCTTGCAGCTTGGCCCCTCTCTTGCTTCTTCTGGTATCGTCTGTGGCGTATGGATGGCATCCAGATCGACGACATCGCGAGTTCGGTATCCGGATGGGGTAAATTATCAAAGATTGTATATCAATTGAATGCAAGATGTACGTGGTGCATTCACTTCTGGAACTTTCTTGAGAGGTGCTCCTCCTCCGCTCTAACATCGGCGCATGGGATCGGCATAATAGACAGATGTGTATAACGACTGTGCACTTGGAGTCAGGCATGCCACAGCTGAAAAGAGAGCAAACTCGAGACGGAGCACATCTCAAGTATTTCGTCTCCAGAGGGAACAAGCTTGTTTCCGGCCAAATAAAGGCTGATCAGGACGTCAGACGAAGAGGCTTGGAAACAGCTAAAAGACGCCAGCCACTTTGGCTTCCTTATTCGTTTCCTTTCAAACGCCGTCATGGACGGATCTCGAACCCTTGTGAGCCGGCTTACATCCCCATCGCTCTGAAATGTTGGCTGCCGAACTTCCTGGTGGATGATGAGGGCCATTCAAGCAGAAGTAGTATAGTATGTATGCGTCCCTTCCCCATCCTACACTAGGGATATTGCTTCCGTGTCTCGTCCACGATGCATATTGCTTGCAAACCCTCACCCAAACCTTCTTCCGCCCCCGTGGCTTTCGTCCCGCGTCCGTCGCGTCCGACTTCTCATCTTCCTCACTCTCGCTCTCCGTGCTCTTACGGCTGTCTCGCCTTCTTCCTCCCCGCCATCGGCCTCACCGGGTTCACCGGCCGGGATCCCGAATCGCTCTCATGATCTTGACGGCACTTTTGCGTTCTCATCGGAATGGGAATGCATGTGGGTATTGGTGAGATGTCGTACGTCAGCCGGTTCTCTGACCTTCGTTTCGTTGTGGACCACGCGATGCACGACCACGAGATACGGGATGAGAGACAGGCTATACATAAACGCTTTTGGCAAAGATCAGGCTCAGTGCTCGGAATAACAATCCTACAAAGTACTTTACTTCGATTCAACCTAAACCATGAAGTGTACGTAGCAAAGACAGCAGCCAGCAACGTTCTTGAATCCTTCCCGCTTCCCGACACCTCCCCTCCGTAATCATTTCCGCCGGCTGAATGGCTGGAAATGATCTGGAAAAGCCTGTCTCACTACATATCACACTTCCGTCGTGTTCGTGATCGTCAGCACATCCCTCGAGCTTCCTGAGACCTTTCCAGGAGGGAGCGGGAGAATCGAACAAACGTGCACGTCGCTTGTCGTCGTTGCGGACTCTTGAACCTATCTGCTGCCTCCTGGCCTGCTCCCGGCTTGCTGACATTACTTATCTTCAAAAAATGACGATGAGTGGGACCGGCTATTCGAGGCATGTAATATGCGCCCGGCGTCATCTTTTTACGATCACGCGCGCGCGTTTCTGTTGCCTATATGTACAAGGAATGAGAATGAGAAATTGATAAGGTCGGAGACAATGACAATTGGTAGTGTGCGATCATGCGGGGCGCCAACATCTTTGACCTAGCTATTTTCAATACATGCTTCTGACTTTCTTTTATTCATTCCATCCTCCTCTGCGCGCCGTACGAGTTCGACCAGCCATTTCTGCATCGATGGTCAGATTCAGTCTCGAACCATGACCAGAATATAGTAACATACAGTTGGTCGGGTGGATAGACTCGGGGAGAGCCCTCTCAAGGCCCTCAGGAGCAGCCTTCTGGATAGCCTCGGGCACGAGGGATTCGCCAGTGGCGTGAGATACGCTGCGCTCGTCCTTGGTGGGATCGGTGTTGTGGATCTTGAGTCATATTAGTTACTGTCTCCGCAGTGGGACGAAGGATCGACTTACAGAGTCAGGGAGAGACTCTTCGAGACCTTGAGGGGCGTTCTGCTGAACACCATAGGGGACGGAGGACTGGGTGGTAGAGTCGACGGCGTGGGACTGGTTGGTGGACATATTGATAATTGTGTTGTGGTTGGTGTTGGTCCGTTGAGATTTGCAAGTTCTGTGGGGCTGTGAGGAAGAGGGCGTTCTGACTGCCTTATATAGCTAATTTCTTGGCCATCGTGCCATGATCGCCACTTGGAGGCCAGTTAGAGATCGTACGTACTTCGTCCCGTTCGTCATAGCCGCTGGGTGTCAAGCACGTCACCTCGTCATTATCGGCATGGAGCGAGGTCATCGCCATCGGTCAGCCATGGCGACACATTCACAAGAAGTCATCATCCAACTGGGTCTTGGTACAGTACATGCACGATCGCGGATGGCCGAGGTGGAATGCCGACGCGACAGAAGAAGGCCGCGCATCGGAGGTGGATGCCAGGTGGACGTCGTTGTGTGATCCCGGTCTCTCATGTACTTCTACGCTTTATTGCAGTACTGATGCATCATGCTGACGATATAGGGAGCCTACTATACTGCACAAGGGCACGGCTTTGTCGATGATCCATCCGAGTAGACTTCTGTCGATAATCAATTACGGAAGTGGAGGTCGTCATGATGCCCACATGACCGACGTTCTGCTTGGTATTCGATGACGATGAAAGCTCTCCCGCAATTTCATACCCATATAAGTCAAGATCACGGCTTGAAGTTTGCCCGACATTCGCCTTTCGTAGAGAAAGATCGGCCGACACTTAGTATGCAAGAAGCCTTTCTCTTGCCGCACAGAGTTGTCATATGACTGACAGTTCTCCAGTGCCCTCCTGTCATCTACTTTACATCGGGGTATTCCTATAGAATCACCCCGATGAGATGGCAAGAATCCTTCCCGCCGAGCTTGAATATCTACCAAAAGCCATGTATCAGGAGTCACCGCTGAGAACTATGATCATCTTACTTGAACGTCTCCTATAAACTTGATGACTTCTTCCCGTCCATTGATATTCTTCTCTTGGCTTCAGAGAGGCGAGTCATGATGGTCGAGGAAGCATGGAAGACGTTCTTACGCATAGATGTATTCAATGTTGTGATCATCGATCTCATCGACTTCTGTCATGTTCTTAAAGGACCGACCACCGGGAAGGCTGAAAAACGCGACGCCGCGCACGGTCGTCGTGCCCGCTAGTCGGATTTCGGTAAACAGATGATCATGTATACGACTACTCAGTGGACTCAAGCTTCCCAGTACGCTACTCGTACTGCTTCGAGGGCTCTGACCATTGTATACAATGCACAGAGATGGTTCAAGAAGGTCCTCCAGCTCTGCCCAGCCACGTCCTACTTCTCTTTCTCGACGCGTCTTGACGACAGCCAAACCAGGAGACGATGAACGAGAATTGTACAGAATGCCTCAGATATGAAGAATCTCGAATGCTTCAGATAAGAAGAAGCATACCGGATTTACAACCCGACAAGGATTCTCATCCACGGACGCGCAAGATAGATAAACACGGAACAAAGTGCAAGACACTGTTCCCGACGACAAAGGCCGCAAGGGCCGCAAGACATTGCCATCGCAGATTCGCAGATGGGCACGGAGAAACAGTCAAATCAACGCCGAAGATGATCGACCTCCTCGAGTCAAAGGGCCAAATGCTCGCTCCGAAACAGACGCGACAAACGCGACCCAGAACCCCACCCAAGTACCCAAGGCACAGACCGCTCAAGTGTTATTTTTCCGTGACATGCAGGAACTGATAATGCCAGGGTTTCAAAGGTCTTTTGTTCCTGCAATTCCTGACATGTGGTTGCGTTCCTCGTCGCGTTGCTGACCTCGCGATCATCACAAAAGTTTAAAGTTTAAGTTTTGTCGGCGCCCCGCCGTACATACCGGTCGGCCTCGGCCGTCTTTGCTTACTTGCTGCATCATCATGGCTGGCCGCTGAGTCTTGCTTTGGTGTCCATGGAGAACGCTGGGGGCGTGGAAAAGTGGCAAGGATTTGACGAGAGGCTGGATGGAGATGCTCCAAAGGGAGGGAAAGAGTAAGCGCTGTCTACGTATGTCTCATGGTTAGTCGCGATCGTTGCTTCAAAGATCTTGCAGTCAGACACGAGCTGGGAATTGGGAGCGTTGTAGACCAGGATCTGCCCCACCATCCAGGCCTACGGTGCTACGGAATGTGGAGCTGGGTCTCTATGCAAGTCTCATACTTTTCTTACGGATCTTGTGACTTCTTGATGGATTTCACGTCATGAAATCAGATCAAATGAGACATCTATGGGTGAGAGAGCCTTGTATCAACACATGGGTTTGATGATGAGATGTGTGTGGAGCTTGTATATGGATGGGCAGCTCCAATGGAGCCTGTGGGTACTTGATCCAAGACATGCATTCGACGACCTATCTGGATTCTTGGATAAACATTTTGGAACGTTCATGATGATGACAAAAATCAAGGAAGGAGGCATCAACAAGAGACATCTATCACGCTATGCCGGTTGCCGAGATGATGAGAGTATATGACAAGCGCCAGTCTCTCCTGCCTTGAAGAGAGCTCAGCCAGCTCGCTTGGCAGAGACTAGTAGCTTTGAGTAGCTTTGAGTATGTACTGCGCTGGTCGCAGCTCGCCGCTCGGAAGACCGACAGTCAACGCGAGATCGACGACCACCAACTTTGCGGCATCGTCAAGAGATGTTCAGTGACATGACAATGAGTAAAAGGGCTTACGTGTACGTACCCTCTGGGCCTCTGGCAGGTCACGGCTGCGTGCTGCCTCGAAAACCTTATTGAACGAGGGAAGGCCTCCTTCTAGTGCCTTGATGAACACTGCGCCGCGCGGCAGCTATCCGGCGCGCCAGCAACAAGGCGGCACGAGTTGACGATGGTTCAACATACGCATGTACCGAATCACACATCACAATGATGAGTAATATCCCTATCAGCCGCATCACACCTGTCCCATCTTTCCGCCGAGACTTACTGTCCAGGAGCAAGCGGCAGACCCGACGACGATAACAACACGACTTTGGTCGGTGCCTCTCATGTACCTACCTAGACGTGTGAACCCCTGTCCTGTGCAAGCTAAGGATATCTACGAGATGGCACTGGAAGGACTCTGGTAGTCATGCATGGCCCTCATGTGATGGGGTGAACAGGCGTGAAATCGGAGCGTATGAGAGGCGGGGTGCCACGAAAAGGCCCCTGTGCGGTGTGCCATGTCACGCTTCTTTCCATGTTCCGGACTAACCCTGCCATCTGTCCTCGTCAGCCACCGAGCATACACGGCGGCTTACGGGGGAATTCACGTGTATCTCGCTCCGCTTGCGGAAAGTTCCCGCGATGGGCCTGCAAGCCACGATCAGAGGATACAGGCGAGACGCTCGAGGCCTGAGCGGAACCAATTTTGAAGGTTCACCTGGTCGTCTCCTTTGGCTTGCGATGAGATGGACACTGGCTCATGTCATCTCTTTTCCTCTCCAGTTATCCAACATCCCACAGCCCCCACCATGGATGGCGACGCCCTCGGCTTCAGGTGCGACCATCCAGGCTGCACAAAGGCCTTCACAAGAAAGGTGCGCGTGTTTTTCCCTCCTGTGTGTAAATGCTGACTGGAGTGCGCTGTAGGACCATTTGCTGCGTCACTCGGCCAATCGTGCGTCTGTCCCCATGTCCCGGAGCATGCATAGCTCACCCCATACAGATTCGCAGACGTCGTTCAGCTGTTCCAATTGTTCCCGGGAATTCAAGCGGTTCGATCTCCTACAGCGACATGAGAAACGCAATATCTGTGGCGAAGAGGCGGCCAGTGGCTCTAGACGATCGAGAAATAAACGCAGAGTCAGCGAGAGCGATTCGGAGGAGTGTGCTCCATCGCTTCCCCCTCCTCACCGACAGCCTCCGCCCCCTCCGATCGATATCATGAGCTCAAATGCCATCGCCTCCTCATCATCAACTGTCCTATACCCAAACAATACCGTTTTTGCGCCTGACGGGGGCGCATCAATACCCAACAACCAGTTTGACCTCAACGCACCACTTCCGTCAGCTATAGGCAATCCTATAGCGGGGAACGGTTTTGTCATTGGAGAATTCATGGGCGACTGGGGGTTTTCACTGTGGGCACCAGAACAATGGGAGGCGCTGCTCCACGAGTCTCTAGCGCCTACTAACGAACCCATGATGGACCTACCGTGGGACATGCCGGACATGGCGCACATGCCACAGCAAGAGTCGTCAGAAAGGGGGCAAGATAAGATGGCGAGTGCGATGGTTGTCTCGAGATTACAACGGTCATATCCAGTATGCCCCTCTCCCCCCCTCTGCATAATGCTAACCAATAACAGGAGTTTGATGTCCCTCTATCCTGGGTTATAGAGGCCATCCAAACGTATTGGTCCCGTACCGCGCCCACATTTCCCTTCATCCACCGCGGGACATTCGACCTCGCCACCGCGCCCACCGAGCTTGTTATTATGATGGCCATCGTCGGCTCGGTCCATATGTCGCCCCGCCGAAGCTTTCTCCCGCTCGTCTCCAAAATCCGAGGCATGCTCGTTCAAGGTTGCGGCCTGGATATGCCGGTGACGACGTTGCAGACGTTCTGTCTCTGCCATGTGCATGATACGTGGTATGGGACGGCGGAGAGTCAATTCGTAGCGCAGTGCATGTGGCCCGTCATGGTGGCACATTCAAGGAAGAAGGGGATTGGAGTTGTAGGCAAGACGGATACGGAGGTGCATCAAGAAGAAGCTTGGGCGGCGTGGGCGAAAGAAGAAGGTAAGTCCGGATCTTCCTGGATGTAGCTGACAATCCCAGAACGTCGCCGAGCAGCCTACTGCGTCCTGCTTATTGACACCCAGCTGTCGGCATTCTGGAACCAACACTGTTCCCGCCAACTATCCATATTCGCCCACCACCTCACCCTCCCCAGCGACCGCTCCCAATGGCAAGCCCCTACAGCATCCGAATGGTTCCGCCTCCGTATCCGCCAGCCTTCCACCCCACCCACCCCCCGCCGCGCGGCCAACCAACAACGGTCCGGCTACCTGCCGGGGCTGCACCCCGAGTTTCAAGTATCGACGGTGACGGATGGATACTCGTCTGCGATCTTGGCGTCGCTGGCGCTGGAACCGCTGGCGTTCAAGGCGGATTTGGATAACTGCTTGACTGTGCAGATGATCCTTATCGGATTGATTGCTATCGCCTGGGATTGTAGGACGAGGGGCGGGATGGGGATCAGGTTCAAGGAGGGGACCAAGCATTGGAGGTCGATCGTCTTTCGATGTGAGTACAGTCTGAGCAAAGGGGACAAAGCTGATTGATGACACAGCGGTGGTGGCGCTGAGAGCGGCGTATGAGCAGGAGGTGGTGAGGATGGGCGAAGCTATTGAATCAAGAGATTTGAGAGATTCCTTCGCCATCTGCATCATATCCATCCTCTCCGACATGTACGTCCCTCAACCTTGCCCATCATACCTAGCTAATTCCCGATAGCCCCATGCTCTGCGTAGCCGCAGGTTCGACCTCGTTCTGCGGCAGCACCATTGGCCCCCGCCAGTACGCCGATGCCAAGCGCCGTCTCCGCCTTTGGGCCAAAACCGACGACGCTTGGACGTGCGTTTGGCAGTGCGCGCGGTATCTGAGGCAGTCGCTCTTGAGTGAGTGGGGGCTGTATACCCCATGGGCTGTCTTTTTGACTACTGTGAGTGTCATTCTGACAAATGGTCATGGGAGGCTGATGAAATCAGTTGGTTTGCTGGGCATACTCGGAGACGCTCGTCCGAGAGGAACCACCCCTCGCCGCCCATCAACCCCTACCCCACCTCACCCAACCCGTTAACGGCTCAGCGTACCCACCTTCAACATCCACCCAAATCTCACCCAACGCAATGCACATTTCGCGTCCCCATACGCTCTCTCACTGTCCGCATAACGTGACCCACCCTCACCCGGATGGGATGAACGGACACAACGGCCATAACGGGCACATGCCCCCGCCACCTCCGAAGCCTGCTCAGCAAGATAAAGAGCCCATCATTGTCTTTCTTGACAAGATCCTCTGTCTTCCTGGTAGGATGGATGTGCTGGAAGGCGGGGAGATGGATAGGTTGATGGAGTATGCGGCGAGCGTTCTGGAAGAGGTCAATGGCGGAGGGACGCCGATTATGGGAGGGATGGGTATCGGAGCCGGAGGGGGACAAGGGACCGGTCGGGAAAATGGGGCTCTGCTGAGGAGGCTGGTCCGCGGTGGTCGGAAATGAAACAAAACGAAAAACGAAACGAGGGAAAGCGTGTTGTATATATTGTCTGGGTTTATGTGTCTCTTATTTGGTTCCAGGAGGGTTGTATATATATGGGATTATTTGCTCTTTTGATCTTGTCGACATCTTCATACTGTAGCCAGTACCTTTTTTGCCTCACGCTGTATATTGGATCATCGATAGAAAAACATGTTTCATAGTAGTGCTCTGTCAACGAAAAGGTCCCAATTCTCCTGTGCGATGAAAGCATCATAGACTGCAAAGGTCGTGGTTGTTTGCACCCTTTTGGCTGTATCTGGTGGTTGATATGGTATGATTCGGCAGCGTACAGCCACAACCCTCAAAGCGGTTCTACAACAACATATGATAGGCGATGAGCGCTGTTGCCGTTCGACAAGCCCCAGTCCACATTACCGTTGGTCATCTTGGTCCTCACGCAGTTCTGTTGACATGCCCGTGATTGAAGCTTGGTATACATCTCTTGTCTTGTGACAGGGTTTTATACTCGTCAAGCGACAAATTAGCTTACTTCCAATGGTTCAAGTGTGCATAGCGTAATACGACCTTCATACGACGCGACGCGACGCACTCGATGACGTAGCCATCTCGAACACATCTCAAACACCGCGAGTGTGCTTCCCATACATTCATATACTTTCATTACACGTACCTCGACAATGGCCGACGCAATCGACTCGGCAGTCCAATACAAGCGAGCGCATCCTGAAGAGAGCTTCCCCAAGGTGGCCAATCAATTCAAGGTCACTTCTTCCACTCTCAATAATCGATACCACAAAAAACACGCCTCACATGCCACCAATAACCCTCGCAAGCTCTCTGTCATACAAGAGAAGCAGCTGGTCGACACAATCAACACTTATGCCGAACGTGGTACCCCCCTGACCTCTGCGAAAATAAGAGAGCTCGGGCAAGCTCTCCATGGCCATCCCCTGGGCGAGAGATGGGGCTCAACTTTCGTCGAGCGTCATCGCGCCGACTTGAACTCCAAATTCTACGGCTACACCGGAGCTGGTTGGCAAGATGATAATACGAGCGAGAACAACACTGCAATTCGAAACGGGGAGCTGGACCCAGTTATAGCTGTTGCGCAGGCCCAGACGGACGCAGAGGTGGCAAAGTCAAAGATCGTGCTGCTGGAAAAGGAGTTGGAGGAAGTTAGAGCAGCAATGGCGCTAGACCAGGCCACCAGGGGAAGTCGCGAGGCAGTTCAGAATCTGGGTGGGGGTTTATATGATCTCAAGTATAGGGATGACAACCGTGAAGCGCTGGAGAAGAGGAAAGCGAAAGAAGAGAAGAACAACAGGGGGGGATCGGGCAAAGCGAGCTCGTAAATGACGCACCGGGGTGTAGTGAAACGAGCAGCAAGCATGCCTACAGAGCCCAGCTAGGACTTTGTGAGGTGTGTAGTGTATATGTATCATAGCCATGGGGTTATTGCATGATACGGGTTCATGGACATAATGACAGTACGTTCATCTGAGATGCGCATGGTCGTTTTTCTTGGTTTCTTGCCAGCAAGCGACACCACAAGCCTGCCAATCCACAGCAAGAACAAAAACTACCACCCCTTCCAAGGGACCCAAACATCTACAACCTCCTCCCCTCCATCTTCCACCACATACATCCACGGAAAACACGCGCACACCAAACACGCATGCTGAGGCAAAATCCGAATAAGATCCCCAATCTCCAACTCTCCCTCTCCCCCTCCTCCTCCCTCTCGCCTCGCAAGCGTCCCATGCTCCTGACTAATCCTCCCCAGGTCCCAGCCCTCCGCCTTTTTCGGCCAGATCACCCGCCCATACCCGGGCTGCCTGCCCGTATCTTTGGACACCGCCAAAGCGCCCGTATCGCACATGGCTTCTCGTCGATCTTCAGCAGGGTAGAGCGATACGACGCGGGAGAGAACGGAGAGTGCGAGGTGGGAGGGGGAAGGGAGGGAGGTGGATAGTTGTTGGAGGTCGTTCATGCAGTAACAGCCCGCGTGTCTTTGAAACCCGTCAGCCTTGTCTTACGACCGGGCGGTGGGGAAAGCTTACAGCTCGAGTTTCCCATGGACTTTCAAATCCGTCACCGCCTCCTGAACAGCCGCATGCGCCGTCGGGGTAGCGCCTACCGAGATGACCCAATCACCCTGGGCACCCAGGGAGCGGGCGAGCTTGGCGGCGGTTTGGGTACAGGCGATTTCGGCGTGGAAGAAGGATGAGCCGGCTGCGAGGGATGAGGAGGCGTAGGATTGGCCAAAGTCTGTTCTCTGATGTTAGCTTCGTCCAAGATAGGAGGAGGGGGAAGGGACGTACGGGAGTAGAAGCCAAAGATGGAGATCGCCTCGGGCGCAGCGAGGATAGCGGCCAGAAGGTCTTTCATCTGCTCGCTCTCGGGAGGCGCGCCCGCTCGTCTGTTCGCCCCATCAGCAATCAGCATTTGCCTTTTTGTTATCGTGAAGAGGACTTCAGACGTACCGACCACCACCATCAACCTTGACAAAGACCGACCACTTTCCCCTCTCCTTTCCCTCACCATCCAGTTTCTTGTTGTAAGCCTGAAGGAACTGTATCTGTTGGGCGTGATCGACCATGATTCGGATCACGCCTTTGCCAGCCATAGCCTCTTGGGCAGAGGTGATATCGTCCAGTTTATCGGCGCCTATGGGCATACTATACAGAATCTAGCCTCCCCATCAGCTCCCCACTCGTCAAGGTACAGAAAACGGAAAGGAAGGGCGACGGAACGTACATCATCCACAAGGCCTTCTTCCACCAAGCCAGATTGAACGACCTGCCAGACCTCGACCATAGTCGATGCAATGACAGCTTTGACACCGCCAGCCGCTTCCACCTGCATCCTCGTGCCTTCTGTCGTCTTGTGCGCTATCACCCCTGTCAGCTCTTTCCTTGCCAATATTCAAGGGGTGAAGATTCACTCTTGACATGCGCCCTGAAAGCCATCCCTCTAGCATTTGCCTCCCTCGTGACACGCTCACAGTTCTCCTTGAAGACCTTTCTATCCACAATCAAAGCCGGGGTACGTAAAGCGGAGAGCGGCTTGCCGACGAATGCCTTCTGTAGCTGGCCCTTGTCTGGGAGGGAGTAGAACGAGAGGGGGGTGGAGGTGGACATGGTTGATATTCAGAATGGGATGGGGGAGGGGATGGAAGAAAAAGATGGGTCTTGTAAGGGGTCGGGGTTCTTATCTCGGGTGGACTGAAGCGCGTGATCTGCTACGCGGCCCTGACCGTCGGCGAGTCGGAGGAATGCCTCATGTGTATGCATCCTATCGATCTCTCCTCTTCTCTTCCAGACTCACCTCATGCATACCTCTGTCCCCCCTATGCTGCCCCATGCATCCCGCTCCAGACTTTCCACTCGATCCATCGATTCGGCAGCGGCTCGGCGAATTTCCTGAGCGGCTTATCGCGGGGTCCAATCTTTATTGCCGACCAGAGTGGGGAAAGTGGGGGAGCATCTTGTGCTCTTTTGACTTTTCTACTCAGGGATAGAGGTACCATGTGATGCCGGATGTACTTTTGGCTATATCGTGCAATACCAACGTAAGGTATAGTTTGAGAACGGGAAGGGGTGGGGGCAGAGTGGGGAAGAGGGAGCAACCCGCCTTTTGCAGAAGTTGCTAACTCAAGCGAGTCGTCTAAGAACAAGATATGCGGTAAGGCAGGCCTTCGATCTCACTTGGGCATCATAGGTGCCCCCTAAGACGATTATCAATGTTCTTTCACTATTCATTCCTTCAGACCCCTCTGTCAGATGGCGCATAAATGGTCGGTACACTTGATAACTATAGCAGCCTTCTTTGATACATTTTGAGTCTACGAAACCACATAGCTACTAGTGGGATATTACTTGAGGCCTAGATATGAGATATGTAGTATGGGCTTTACTATGTAACCAAGTCCTTTATATATATCAGAGCAAGCAAAAAGTAGAAGAAAAGCGGGAACGTCCAGAAAAGCAAAAGCAACAACCAAGAAAGAGAGCACCTCACCAAACCTTCCCGCTCTCTCTCCTCCTCAACACCTTCCCTCCCCTAACACCCTTCAAAACCTCCCCATCCCCTACCACCACCTTGCCCCCCACCAAAACCCACTTGATTCCCTCTGCCCTCTCTTTCGGCTTTTCAAACGTACTCTTATCCTTGATCGTCTTTGGGTCAAAGACGACAATGTCGGCGAATGAGCCGGGGGCAATCAGACCGCGGAGGGGGAAGAGGGAGAGACGTTTGGCGGGACGGGAGGTCAGGTGGGCGATCATGTTGGGTAAGGGTATGAGGCTGAGGTCGCGAGAGTAGTGTCCTAGGAAGCGCGGGAATGTGCCATATGCCTATACCGAATCAGCTACCATCAAAAGCAGCAAAAGCTCAACGACATACCCTGGGATGTAACCCCTCCCCATGCAAGATCGCATCCGACCCCGCACAATGCGTCTCATGCCCCATAATCATCCGCACATTCTCTTCATTGCCTATATGCATCACGCAGCTCGTGCCCAGCTTGTCTTGCAACAGAATGTCGAAGAAAACGGCGATGGGCGGAAGGGAGGAGGAGCGGGCGATTTCGGAGATGAGCCGGCCGTTGAGGTGGGATAGGGCAGGGTTGGAGGTGGATCCGATCTGTGCCCAAAGTCAGTATTCGAAGGAACGAGAAGAAGCGAGGAAAGACGCGTACGGCAATAACTCCCCAATCCGTAGGGATTCCATGGCCCCCATCACACCCCTCAATCTCCACCTGCCTCCTAATCTTCTCCCTACAAAATTCATCCTTCAACCTCCTCATCGTCTCCTCCGGCCCGCCCGCAGACGCCCAGGAAGGAAGCAGAGAAGAAAGAGTGGTGCACCCGGGAAGGTAAGGGTATGTGTCCAGGGTAATGTCGCACCCGAGGGAACGGTGGGAATCGATGAGAGAGAGAAGGAGCGGGGCTTTGGAGGTGTTTTCGGGAAAGTTTAAAGTTGCGTGTGTTAAATCTTTTTTCACGTCAATAAACATCCCCGAGGGTAGATGAGAGGGAAGGGAAACTTACGAACAGCACACCCCGTATCCTTTGCCAAACCCAACATCTCGCCATAGCTCTCCAACGCCTTGTACCCGTAGCTCCTATGATGCGGCGCATAGAAGCTTCCGGGGAATTCTTGGGCGAGGATAGTGCATAAGGTGGAGAGCTCGGAGGTGGAGGCGTACATCCCCGGGGTGTATGTCAGGCCGCTGCATTAATGTTAGTATTGTACTTGTAGATAGTTGAGGGGAGACGTACGAAGACATGCCGACGGCACCTTCGCGCATGGATTTGCGTAGCAGCTGGCCTTGTTGCTCGATCTCGTCAGCCGTGGCGATCTTGTCCCATGGTCCGCAGGCTAGTAACCTCAAATTGCCCTATTCCCCGATCAGCTCTTGTCACTTCTCCAATACCTCCAACCAATTACTTCGGATGAAAAGAAGTAGAAAATGAGCAGGAGGAGAACACTCACCTGCGGCACAAGCGTACAGACGTTGACGCTCACCCCATTTCTCTCCAAACAATCCAAATAGTCTCTTGTGCTCTTCCACTCAAACAAACCCTTCACCTCTGGGTAGTCTGCAGGGTTGGGGTTGCCGTTCCAAGCAGCGATTTGGGAGCGGATGGCGGTCAGTTGTGAGGGAGAGGATATGGGAGAGTAGGAAATGCCGTCTTGGCCTAGGACTTCGGTCTGTCAAGGAGTCAGCTCAAAAGAAGAAGAAGAAGAAGAACAGAGACGTACAGTACATCCCTGAGAGACCTTCGCTTCATGATCCGGATGCGTCAACACATACAGATCTGAATGCGCATGCAAATCAATAAATCCCGGGCAAAGCACCAGCCCCTCGGCTTGAATCTCCTTCACCTCTTGCACTTTATCACCCCTCTCGCGCGCCTTCGACCTCTCGAATAAGAGCTGGCACGAGAGGGTGAATGGCGGGGCGATGGTGGCGATGAGGCCGGTATCAGAAGAAATAAGGACATCGGCGGGGTAGGGGATGGCGTCTTCTGCGCCAGAGATAATGGTGGGAGAGATGAAGAGAATGTCGGGAAGCATGGCGTCGTTCTTGGGTGGGATGACGGGCAGGAAAATGGGTTACTAGTTATATACTGTCGGAAATTCGAGAACAGTTCTTGTTTTCAGTTGTGGGACACTAACAGGCAGGGCGTAGAGTGAGCGTATGGGCCGTAAGGAGTGCGTGTAGTCGGCAACTGCGAGCGGGGCGTTCGTCGGGGGAGACGGCGGGGTGCGGCGGACCAAACAGAGGGAGAATGAGGAGGGAGTGATGCACAAGGAGGACGAGATGGATCGGCAGGACGCACACAGGGATGTTATATGTATCCCGCTGTTCTGGATTGCGCTGCTTCCCCACCTGACCCTATTTCTCCCGCCGAGGAAGAGAGAGTGGGGGATCCAAGGAGCGGGTGCCGAGAGTGGGGGACTGCCGCTCGGCCATCTCCGACGCGCCCCTCTGTGATGAGAGCCCGTCTTTCTCTACCTCGCAAGAGACGCATCCCGAGAGAGAACGACGAGCGCGGAGGGAAAAATGCAGCGAAAGGAGGCGACTGCCCACCCCCCATCACCCAGTGCCCGGGGCGTTGGAACAGGAACAGGTGTGTGTGATGGGCGTTACAATCAATCGACCCGGTGCGCAGGAGGGCCTGGCCCCGGTAGTATTGATGCACCATTACCCTCCGAGCGGAAAGGACACCTCCTTTCCTGAGATCATGCATGTCACTGATCGCTGGGAGCCGTCGGTAGGGCCAAACAATAGTCGGATGGGGGGTCGGGGAGTGGGTGGGTTTAGGGGTTCGAGGGGATGTTGAATTACTAGGGTGCGTCGTTAGTTTATGTTCTGTACGGGAGATCAGAAAGAGAGTCTGGATCCGCCCCTCGAACACCATCATCCGTAACCATCGAGGTAACCAGCACAGCATTAATCAGCTTTCCCTAGCAGCATCATCACCCCATCCCCGTGTCACAACCGACCACCGTCATTCTACCAATGCGCGTGTAGAAGACTGAACTAGAGTGGACCCCTTTCCGAGAACATTCTGGAAGGCAGGGGAAAGGAAGGTGGAACGCACTCAATTGTACATACTTGTATCCATCTTCACAGGCTCAGCTCCTGATGTGTGGTGAGAGGGGTAATCGATGGATGGAGGAGTAGGACAACCAGGCTAAGGTATAAGGGAGGGGAAGGAGGATGGATGCCGGGATGAGTGCACAGACCTCTTCGGGATGGTGGCGTGTGTGGCGGGGTGTTGCTTCTGAACGCCTCTGTAAGACGAGGGTCGATCGAGAGACCACCTGAGTGATGTGGTCGAATTGTTCAATAGAGATACTAGGAGTAGTGAAGGGAGAGGCAAGTTGTTTGTGGAAAGGTGAAAGAAAAAAGAGATATCACAGTAACCCGGCGAGAACTGAAATATGCGCGGTGGTCAAAGCGCTGCTTGGGCATGTAGTCTGACGCTAACTGAGATCTGCTGGATCAGCAACAACTTCTACTGTGCTTTGGCGCTGGTGCATAGAACGATTGTCCTGGAATCAAAGATTTGAGGACGCGCGCGGAGCGAAAACAGCGGTCCGAAGTAAACGGACGATACAGAGAGCTAGAATGTGTCGTATGTGGAACTAAAAGTACTCGTACCGTTAGGTGGGGGTGAGTGACAGCTCTCTGCGACGTACTACAACTAGCTCGGTTGCAACGTCAACATCGCTACACCAGCCGAGCGTTAAGCTCAAGGCATAACCATTGTTGAAGCGGGGCAAATGCGTCGAGCGGTCATAGTTGCGCCTGTCAAGTTCCCCAAGACTAAGAGACGCGGACCTGCTCAGCACTAGAAGTCGTCAGAAGGTCGTTACATGTCGTGCTGTCATGAGCTACGTGAAGGGTCGTATATGATTAGGATATCTTGTATTTATGGATCTTACAGGTAATTATGACATATATACAAAGTCGAACGCCAGAAAGCCAGAGTGAAGAAAAGCAGAAAAACCACAAGCGAAAGAAGGAAAAAGGCGTCACTGAATTCAGACCCTTCTCCTAGGTCTCCTCGGTCCTCGTTGCCCAACTTCCCTCTGCGCCGCGTCCCTCGCGCTCGCCCACATGAGCCTAGCCTGCATAGCCCCAGGATGCCCAAATCCGATGGCCTCTCGCTTTACAACCACTCTTCTCCACAGCGCCTTCTCGGCCAAGACCGGCGCGAAAACGGACTTCTCCCTTCCCTCAAAGTTCCGCACCTTGATACATCCACCACGGCGAAGATGGTAGACAGTTTGGAAGTTGAGCCAAACGAGTTGGCCTTGCTTCCCCGGCTGTCCTGGATAGGGTACCGTGGTCGAGAGGTGTAGTGTGGCATTAGGGGAGTGGCTGAGAAGGGGAGAGGGGATGCGAAACCTGGAGTAATCCTTTGACGCGGAGGGGTCTTGGAAGATGCGGGGAGACGGGGAGGCGGGGGTGCAGGGGTCTACAGGGGAGAAAGAGGCGACGAGCTTGATTGGGAGCAGAGGACGCGTCTCAAGCTCAACGCCGTTGGTGTCAGGCTGAGACTTGGCGTCCCAGAGTCCAGGGGGAAGGACAAACGGATACAGCTTTGAGCGCGGGTCCACGATGGGTCTGGTCGATGAGTCAGTTGGGACGTGCGCATGGACAGCAGAAGAGGTTACTTACAGAGATACAGAAGGCTTGGACGAATCCTCTAGCTCAACAGGCTTTGGAAGAGGGGAAGGAGTCTGCTCAGGAGATGGAGGCTAGATAATAAAGTCAGTGCCATGTTGGAAGAGTGCCATGTTGGAAGAAAGGATGGGTAGACTCACCTGGGCATCCTCCATGTCTACGTTTAGCCCTTCAAACCTCTCAGCAAGGCTGGCGAGTGTTCTAGAAGGCGAAGGCGAAGGCGTCAAGCGCCAGAAGTGGGGCTTCTGGTGAGCTTTGACGGGCTCCGCGATCTGACGAGAGTCGGAATGCAGGTCGCCAATGACCAACGTATCGGCAGAGGGCGATCGTACCAAAGAAGAGGCGCCAGAGGCGTTTCGAGCAGGAGTGAAGACGACGCCGCTCTTTGCCGAGTCGAGAGAGGGGGTGGGCGAAATGTCACGAGGAGGAGTGACAACAAGGTTGGAGTGGAGTGACCTGTTGGCGGGGGACATTTTGCAGGGTGGTATGAGATGGGCGAGCGTCTATCGAATAACGTATGGGAGCAGTGTAGGGAGGATACCGTACAGTGGTGTAAGCAAGCTTGAGATGGGGATAGATTGGCCTCAACCGGAAACCTATTATATGAGCGTTGAACAATGAACAATAAGAGTGCTGTGCTACAAGCCGCATGCTCTCTGCATCATTAGGGTCCACGCATTGTCCCTTCTTGGACAATGAAGGAGAATGTATAAGCTTAGACTATTCGTGCCATCAACTGGTCGTATTCTTTATTGTTCGTGGAATAAAGGCATCGGAGGAGAGAGTGGACAGGGGCACCTGCTTCGTAATGTGGAGGCAATCGCACCTTCCAATTGTTCTCGCTGTGGAGGCTTAGGGACAAAAAAGGGGCGTGACGAGGGGGTGAAGTGGGCCATTGTTTTCTGGGTGGGGCAATTCAGGTTCATACCGCAAGCTGCCCCTGCCCCTGAGAGCTGATTGCGAAAGGACAAAAGGCAGATAACAATAATAGACTTTGACTGTTGGAACCGCCTTTCGGCAGCCGGTCAGCTCAGGTACGCGTTGGACAGGTACTCGGCGGAGGTTGATAGGATTGCGAAGGATTTGAAGATGGAGCCCGCCAAGTGAGCTTTACGTCCTTCAGTTTGGCCAGCGCTGATCTGGCAATATAGCATTGCGACGTACTACAAGCAGCTCGCTTGCAGCGTCAAGCTCGCTACACCAGCCGAGCGTCAAGCTCAAGGCATAACCCTTAGTGAAGCGGGGCAAATGCGTCGAGCGGTCATGGTTGCGCCTGTCGAGTTCTCCAAGACTAAAAGACGCGGACCTGCTTAGCACTAGAAGTGGTCATAAGGTCGTCACATGTCGTGCTGTCATGGGCTACGTGAAGGAGGTATACTACTGTACCTGTCGTATATGGTGAGGATGAACCTTAATTATGACATATATACAAAGTCGAGAGCCAGAAAGCCAGAGTGAACGAAAGAAGAAAGCCACGAGCGAAAGAAAGAAAAAGTCACCACTGATTTCAGAACTTGACGGACGCCCTTCTTCTAGGTCCTGCCCTTTTGGATTGGCAGGCATCGAAGCCAGGAAGACGGCTTCCCTCCGCGCCGCTTCCCTCGCGTTCGCCAACATGCGCCTAGCCTGCAAGGCCCCAGGAAGTCCCAACCCGATGGCCGCTCGCTTCACAATCACTCTTCTCCCTAGCGCCTTTCTGGCCAAGACCGGCCCGAAAACGGTTTTCTGCCTACCCTTCAAGTTCCGCACCGTGATACAGCCACCCCGGCGAAGATGGAAGGCAGTTTTGAAAACGAGCCAAACGAGTTGGCCCAACGTTTCCGGCTCTCCTGGATACGGTACGGTGGTGGAGAGGTGTAGGGTGGCAGTAGGGGAGGGGTTGAGAAGGGGGGAGGAGATGCGAAATCTGGAGTGATTGGTCGACAGGGAGGGGTCCTGGAAGATACGTAGAGATGCAGGGGAGGAAGAGGCGACAGAGTTGGCCTTGCTTCCCCGGCGCTTCTGCATAGGGTACGGTGGTCGAGAGGTGCAGGGTGGCAGTGGGGGAGTGGTTGAGAAGGGGCGAGGGGTTGCGAAGCCTGGAGTAATCCTTTGACGCGGAGGGGTCTTGGAAGATACGGGGAGACGGAGAGGCGGGGGTGCAGGGGTCTACAGGGGAGGAAGAGGCGATAGGCTTGACTGGGAGCAGAGGACGCGTCTCATGCTCAACACCGTTGGCGTCGGGCTGGGACTTGACATCCCAGAGTCCAGGGGGAAGGATAAACGGATAGAGCTTCAAGCGGGGGTCGACAAAGGGTCTGGTCGTTGTGTTAGTTGGGACGTGCGCATGGACAACAGAAGAGGTGACTTACAGAGGCTTCGACGAATCCTTCAGCTCAACAGGCTTGGGAAGAGGGGAAGGAGTCTGCTCAGGAGATGGAGGCTAGATAAAAAGTCAGTGCCATGTTGTAAGAGCGCCATGTTGTAAGAAAGGATGGGTGACTCACCTGGGCAATTTCCATGTCTACGTCTAGCCCTTCGAACCTCTCAGCAAGGCTGACAATGTCGAGCGTGCTAGAAGGCCAAGGCGAAGGCGTCAAGTGCCAGAAGTGGGGCTTCTTTTGAGCTTTGACGGGCTCCCCGATCTGACGAGAGTCGGAATGCAGGTCGCCACTGACCAGCGATCGTACCAAAGGAGAGGCGCCAGAGACGTTTTGAGCAGGAGTGAACAAGGCGTCGCTCTTTGCCGAGTCGAGAGAGGGGGTGAGCGAATTGTCACGAGGAGGGGTGGCAAATGGTTGGAGTGGAGTGACCTTTTGGCGGGGGACATTTTGCGGGGTGGTATCAGATGGGCGTCTATCGACTTACGTATGGGAGCAGTGTAGGGAGGATACCGTACAGTGGTGCAAGCAAGCTTGAGATGGGGATAGATTGGCCTCAGCCGGGAGACTTATTATATGTGCGTTGAACAATGCGCTCTAAGGGTGCTGTGCATCAAACCGCATGTTCTCTGCATAATAGGGTTCACGCTTTGCCAAAGCGGCGTGACGAGCGGGTGAAGGGGCCAAGAAGGGGCCATCGTTTTCTGGGTGGGGCAATGTAGGTTTATGCCGCATGCTGCTCCTGCCCCTGAACCCTGATCGCGAAAGAACAGAAGGCAGAGAACAATTGACTTTCGAACTGAACTGCGGTTCATCGCGCGGACTATCGGATCACACCCAAACCCCCGCGACGTCCAAATATTGATGGGAGGTGGAGGACGTCCACAGGACGTCGAAAATTGTGCCTGTCCTGAAGCGTCCTGAGTCCTGACGCGTCCTGACGGATTGTGGCTATCCTGGAGCTGACGGGGGTTGTATTGAGGCAATGGGAAAATGCGTATACATAGAAAGTTCTCTTAAGTTATAAGTACAGGCAGGTGGGTATCATTGCAAACTTATGTGAATACAGCCAAAAATGAACAAAAGTGATCGACAAAAAGTAAAGAACGATGGAACCAAAGATTTGAGGACGCGTGAGGAGCGAAAACGGACAGTACAGAGAGCTAGAATGTGTCGTATGTGGAACTAGAAGTACCTTCAGGTGGGGATGCGTGGTAGCTCTCGAATGATGCAGTCAGCGGATCTTATGCATCGACGACAAATGGAATAAAAAGGTGAGCAGTAAAGTGAGAAAGATGAAATCTACGGTAAACAGTTTGTAGGAAAGCGAACGGGAAGGATGCATGTAGAGTTAAAGGCACTATTCGGTGGGGATGCTTGCATATATTGTAAGGCAGTTTTGAATGAGGTTGAGTGATTGATAAAAATAGAGAACGATGGAATTGAAAATAAGGGTGGGTCGAAGATCAATTGGTGGCTTAAACTGAAGAGACGCCGAACAACAAATAGAGATCGTTCCAATCTCTTTTTCTACCTTCTGGCTGCTTTTGCGCATACAGACATGATCAGCTTGAAATACCTTTTAGCTCTGCCAGGAAGGCAACATTGCAAGTCGAGCCCCTGCTGCTGCGGCTTCACGGGGCGGATGTTACCGGTCATTCTCCTCTATCGACCTCAGTCAACAGACTCAGCGTCGTTTATGATCCATTGAAGGCATTCAAATTCATGTAGTCTGTAAACCTCTCCTACATAGTCACTATTTACAACCTCGCACAGCCAGGCTCGCATACATACAAGTACGTCCACTTCGGCCATCTTTGAACGACATGCACGGTTACGTAACCTGTACCTTAACCTCCACCTGCGCGTGGCTGTGTGTTGCTGTGTATGCTCGGCTGTGGTCGCCTTGCGATTTATCTCTACCTCCTCTTTCTTTCTATCTTTCTTCTTGCCAGCGCATTACAGAAGCACCAGAGCACCATGGACAATACACCCCGCCAGCTGTTCCAAACGCCCAATAACGTCTAGTAAGTTCCCCTCAGCTCCAGCTCCGATCGTCTCCATCCCCACTTCCCCGTCTTACCCGGTGTGGACACGACTGACCTCTGCCCGCTTTCTCCATTCAGTGTCCTCCAACAACCATGGCAATTCGTTAAGGAGCTCGGACAAGGCGCTTACGGCTGCGTCTCGTCCGCACGCAACTCGATGACGGGCGAGACCTGTGCCGTCAAGAAAGTAACGAATGTGTTTCAGAAAAAGATCTTGACCAAGCGGTGTTTGAGAGAGTTGAGGTTGCTGCATCACTTTAGAGGCCATAAGAATGTGAGTCTTTGTTGCATCTCGGATGGGGAGAGGGGGCTGGAGCGGGGAGGGAGGGGAAGGGAAGGGAAGGGAAGGGAAGGCATGGATCACTAGCTGACATTCATTCTCGCGCACAGATCACCTGGTGTGTCCCATCAACTCAATCCGGCAATCTCCCTCCCTGTACACCCTACTAACTCTCCTGCTAGCTTGTACGACATGGATATTGTCTTTGACCCTCCCGGATCAGGCCAATTTAGGGAAGTGTACTTGTATGAAGAGTTGATGGAGGCCGACTTGCATGCTATTGTGAGTAATTTCCCATTTTCAGAAGAGAGCTCAGGTGGGGAAGATGCATGGAGTGGGGCGTGAGGCTGATGTGTCTGATATAGATCCGATCCGGTCAGCCTCTGTCCGACGCCCATTTCCAATCTTTCCTCTACCAAACCCTCTGTGGTCTCAAAGTACGCCGTCCCGTCTCGTATCTTCATCTTAGACTCATTTGGCTCGTGTTATAGTACATCCACTCTGCCAACGTTCTCCACCGAGACTTGAAACCCGGAAACTTGCTGGTGAATGCCGATTGTGAACTCAAGATTTGTGATTTCGGTTTGGCGCGTGGGTTCCAGCCCGGTGCGGTTCAGACGGACCAAGGACAGGCAGGATTCATGACTGAATGTGAGTCTCTGCTTCTGAGGATGTGAAACCTGAGCTGATGGGTGTAAAGACGTTGCGACGAGGTGGTACAGAGCCCCCGAAATCATGCTGAGCTTTGCCAACTACGTGCGTATCCTTCATACTCCAGTCTGGTCTCGCTGACTCTTGAGATCAGACTTCAAGCATCGACATGTGGTCTGTCGGCTGTATCCTCGCCGAACTGCTCGGCGGCAAGCCCATCTTCAAGGGCGAAGACTATGTCGACCAACTGAACAAGATCCTCAACCTCCTCGGTACCCCCACCGAAGATACTCTCCGCCGCGTCGGGTCCCCTCGTGCGCAAGATTACATCCGAAGCTTGCCCATCAAGCCCAGGGTACGATTCGAGACGCTTTACCCGAGCGCGTCGCCTTTGGCGTTGGACCTGTTGGGCAAGTTGTTGACGTTTGACCCGGCGAAGAGGTTTGGGTGTCAAGAGGCTTTGGAGCACCCCTAGTATGCCTTCCCCCATTGATGTAGAGGTCTAGCTGACAGACTGGTAGTTTGGCGGTGTGGCACGACCCTACTGACGAGCCTTTGTGTGAAGTCCCATTCGATTTCTCCTTCGAAGAAGAAGACTCTGTCTCGGGTATGCGCGACTTTATCCTCGACGAAGTCCGATCTTTCAGGCATCTCGTCCGTCAGACTACCCCTCCTCCCGCGCGTCGTGAACAGTAAGTCCCCTTCTCCGTGTGTAGCGAAGCAAGCTGACATGGAATGATAGACACGAGAGCCACGACCTCCCTCCCGCCCCGGTTGCCAACCAACATACAGGCGCGGGTGTTGGTCCGGCATTCCATGAGACGGCGAATGAGGGCGCAGATTCGGAGGAGCATCCGGGATCGGCTTTGGAGAAGCAGCTGGAGCAGGGCAAGTGGTAGTGAGGCTGGTGTTTCGCAGTATGGGGGGTCAGGAGCATGATAATCATAATGGGGTCATGAAATGAAGAGATGTTTCAATAATTCAGCCTTAGTGTGATTCGTAAGGCTTTATGCAATTATATGTACAGCCATGGGGCCAGAGAAAAGCGGGTACTTAGAAGTAGAGCTGCAGTTGAATTGAGGCAGAGCGATTCGGGTCCGGACGTCAGTTTCATGTCCGGAATGTCCGCGCTTTGTCCAAAACAACAACTCTGCAACATCATCACTTTCTTGCATTATTGTTCTTTCTCTCACTTTTTCTTTATCAACACCATGTTATAATACTCGCCATGTTCCACTCCAAATCCCCCCTCACCCCCAACAACACCCTCTACACCCCCATCTCCCGCGTCCCTCCCATCTCCGCCACCCACCGTTCCTTCCCCCAGTCCCCCCCCGCCCACAGCTATCCACCGACACCTCGTCCTCTTTTCGAAAATACGATATCCCGCCAGCCCAAAGAACCCAAGAAGAAAAGGGAACGGCTGAAATGGACCAAGGTCCGCTCTATACTGTATCATTCGTCCTTTTGGTTTTGTGTTCTTCTCAATGCTGCGCTTCTGGTGGCAGCGGCCTGGGGCATGGGAGAACAGGCGTGGAGGACAGGAGGGCAGAAGAATTGGAATGTGTTGGTTGTTGTTCTGGCATATGTCATAACTGTGGGTATAATCCATGCCTGAAGGAGCCAATACTGACATGGACCAGGCATTCCTCTGTATAACGCACTCCTGGTCCCGTATAATATCAATCAAAAAGATGCTCAAGACCATGCCCAAGCCCTACATCCCCACCAAACCCGACGACGTCCCTCCAAAAGTCGCAAACCATGTCGCTACAGAATACTCGCGGACGGCAGTGATCAGCCATATCAGCCAGGCTACTACGGGGCAGCAGGAAGGGTGGGGAAGGCCTGGCACGAAGTGGGAGGGGAAGCATTTTAGGAGTTGGATATTGGGCAGCGTCAGCGTCATGCGTAAGCTCACTTCTGGCTCCGGACGAGGGAAAGTGCTGACTGCCTACTTATAGGCGAGGCGCTGGGAGTCAAAGACGATCTATCCTACAGCCCTTTGTCATTCCAACCATTCTACAACGCCCTCACGCGTATCCCATCTTCCAGCCCTGAAAACCCGTTCGAGTCCCCCTCTTCTTCCTCCACCATCCCTCCACAAGAAGACACCGGTCTCAGAGTTCTGCTGAACTCGTGGGTCAAGTACATTGAGCAAGCGAGGTATGCGAAGCGGGAGCCTGGGGAGAGGGAAGCTGGAGCAGTGGAAAGACTGGTTGAAATCGTGTTATTGACGTAAGTTGCTCCTATGGGCATGAATCAGGTGCTGATCTATCGACAGTATGAAGATCAAAGAAGAAAAGGGCAATACTCCTGCCCAGAACAAGTCATGATAATCTGTATCGTATCATATATTTGTAAACAACAATGCATGTTGTAAACAGTTGTCAGGCGAGTGACCTGTCATGAAGCCATGTCTGAAACTTGATACTTTCATGATGTCTCTGTTGCTGTCAACATCCCGGACTGTTGGCGAACCGTCCTATCGTTGCCTCCTCGCCTTTGGTGAAAGCCAAAGCTGTAATTTTAGGATGGAGGTGACCGGCCGTATATGGCGGCATACGAGAGCAGGCGTCCAGGCGTCGGTGAATGCGGGCTGAGGCCGAACATGATCCTGATACTGCTACAATACATATGAATAGTCTTTTAGTATACAACCATGCGACAATACACTCTAAGCATCCTTCTTCTTTGACGCTTTCTTCTTGTCCCCGCTCTTCTTCGTTGGAGGCCTCTTCTGGTCCTCCACCTCGACAGCAGCCTGTGGGTTCTTCTTTTTCTTCTTTGACTTTGGCTTAGCCACTTCCGCCTCGTCTTCCTCTCCAGGCCTCTTCTTCCCCTTCCTCTTGCCACCATCATCTTTACCATCCAAGCCCATCCCTGGTCCCACCGACGACCTCGGCCCAATCGACCCCGGCCCCTGACTTCCCGGCGGCGCAAACCCTCTTTCCCTCGCCATCTTCATCGCTTCAAACTGCTCCCTCGACCTCAACACAAGCCAATCTGGCTGGAAAGGCGCTGCGCCGCTGCCTTGGCTCGATCCTGCGAGTACGAGCTTGCGCATACGGTCGAGGGAGGAGGCCTGGTCAGACTCGGCTGAGAGGGGCTGTCGCAGGGAGCCTTCAGATGACAAGTTGGGGTGGGCGGGGGAAGTGATGGATAGGGCGAGGCTCGCATTGCGGGTAGCCATTATTGAGGTCCCTAGATAGAGAGGAGGGGAAGTAGCAGCGATAATGCGACTCTCCAGCTCTAATGCGAGTTGATCATCCCATGCCTGCCCTTTCCGCTCGAGCATCACGTCGATAGTCTGTGGCAGCGTCTCCGCCGCAGGCCGCATCACTACTCTGGAACGTGATTCCGGCGTCCGACGAAAGTCTTGGAGCTCGACTACGAGGCAGCCGTCGACAAAGGAGATTGGGGGCTGGATGTCGTACAGGAAGGGAATGAGAGAAGCGGGAATGACTTGGGAGCGGACGGCGAGGAGAAAAGGTTTCATGGGGCCTTCGTATTGAAAGTTCATGGGCTGACACAGTATGAGCAAAGGCCATAAAGGATGCATGATACTTACCGAGTTCTCAAAACGCCAATGATTAGCATGGAGCTGGACGGTGAGGGATGGCTCCCATTTGCGCGACTTTTTAAGCACGGCGCGGGCAAACCTGTGGTGATTGTAGCCGGATGCGCTGGCCATGGCGGGCGGGAATGTATATGTCGACTAAAGATGCAGAGGAAAGACGAAAGAGTCGACAATGATAGAGAAGAGTAGCGCACTTACGTAACGACTTTGGCTCGAGACTTGAGTTGCTTGTTGATCTCGCGCTCATGGCCTGTTGCATCTCTATTCGCATCGCCCGGGATGAGCAACTCGAACTTTCTAGATGTGAGATGGGCTGGAGAAATAGCAGTGGGTGGCAGGCTGACTCTCTGCAGAAAGCTATAGCTCTGGTCCAAAAGGCCATCGACGAGGACGTCAAGCAGAACTATGCCGTGCGTCGATCCTAGACGATAGGGTGCCCGACTGACGCCACGTAGGAGGCATACAAGCAGTATCAAGATGCTCTTGATTATTTCATGATGGTATGCTCCTTCACCCTGCAAATGTCCATTGCTGACCCGTCCACAGGCTATGAAGTGTACGTCATACTATGCCCCTTTCCGACCCAGCCTTACCCAATATACCAGATGAGAAGAACGACAAGCTCAAAGAACTCATCCGCAAGAAGTTTACCGAGTACCTCGACCGCGCCGAAAAGCTCAAAGAACATATCGCCAAATCAGACGAAAAACGCTCCAAATCCAAGATGTCCGCCACCGGTGCCGGCGCCGGCTCCTCTGCTGGTGGTCCCGACGTCAAGGGAGAAGATGGGGATGATCCTGATATCAAAAAGCTCCGTTCAGGACTTCAGGGAGCTATCTTGTCGGAGAGCCCGAACGTGCAATGGGACGATGTGGCGGGTTTGGCGCAGGCGAAGGAGGCGTTGAAGGAAGCGGTCATCTTGCCGATCAAGTTCCCGCAGCTGTTCACGGGAAAGAGAACTCCGTGGAGGGGTATCTTACTTTACGGACCTCCGGGTACCGGTAAGAGTTATTTGGCGAAGGCTGTGGCTACAGAGGCGAAGAGCACGTTCTTCTCGGTGTCTAGTAGTGACCTGGTTTCCAAGTGGATGGGTGAAAGTGAACGGTGAGCAATTCTCTCTTGTGTCCTGATCTTAACTCATTCTATGTAGTCTCGTGAAGCAGCTGTTCCAAATGGCTCGTGAACAAAAGCCTGCCATCATCTTCATCGATGAAATCGACTCTCTCACAGGTGCGCGAGGCGAAGGAGAATCAGAAGCTTCAAGGCGTATCAAGACCGAATTCCTTGTCCAAATGAACGGTGTCGGAAACGAGGAGACAGGAGTACTTGTTCTGGGTGCTACAAACATCCCCTGGCAACTTGATCCCGCTATCAAGCGACGGTACGTCTCCATTCTACTCACTTGACCAATCACTGACAAGGTGTACAGATTCGAAAAGAGAATATACATCCCCCTCCCCGACGTTGCCGCCCGACGCAGAATGTTTGAAATCAACATTGGCTCTACACCACACGGTCTCAAACCTGCCGACTTTACCCACCTCGCGGAGCAGACAGATGGATACTCGGGAAGTGATATCGCGGTGATCGTCAGAGATGCTTTGATGCAGCCGGTCAGAAAGGTTTTGAGCGCTACCCATTTCAGAGAAGTAAGTGCTATAACTCTGATCTTCACGAACGCCGCTGACTCTGCAAGCAGGTCACAGAAGATACAGAAGCCGGTCCCAAGACCAAACTCACCCCCTGCTCCCCTGGTGCCCCCGGCGCAGTTGAGAAGACTTGGACGGATGTCGCCTCTGACGAGCTCCTCGAACCGTTACTCAGCATCAATGACTTTGAAAAGTCTATCGCTGTCAACCGGCCGACAGTGACCGGGGCGGATATCGAAAAGCATATCACGTTTACCAATGAGAGTGGTGAGTCTTGAGTATCCGCTTGGAATGAGCAAATGCTGATGATTTCACAGGAGGAGAGGGTGCTTAGATGGATCGTTCTTATGACTGTTGTTTCTGATGCAGAATTGTATATCATTCGACAAACACTCTAATCTTAACTCTCTAAACAAAAATACTAACAGACTTAGACACTTTGCGAGAACCAAATCGGCCAGTCCTCCTCACTTAAGCCCTCTCCGACACCCGTCATGCCAACAACCTTTATTCTATCGTTGTCGACGACTTCAACATGGAACGGATCGCCGAAGAACACCTCGCCGGTATCGGAGCTCGTCCACGCCTTGCACCCATTCCACTTCTCTCCCTTCTTCCCTCCATTGGTGCTACCATCTTCAAGCAAGGACGAAGGAGCCGGCGAGAAGATCAACTTCACAGAGCCATATATACTCGCTACAAAGGGCAAAGACCCCATCTCCGCCGGGAGGGAGAATACTACCTGATGATGGTCGATGATCCAAGTGGCAAATCCGGGAGACGACCAAGTGCCCACGAGGGAGCTCGCATCTACCGCAAGTTCCTCGGAGGTAGAAGGAGAGACGGCGGAGAAAGATCGGAATGCGTCTTGACGCTTAGCATCTAGCACAGCAAACCAGTCTTTCCGAGGAAGGCTTGCAAAGTACTCGATCATGCGGCACTTCACAAGCGCTCGTAAATACTTGCCACTGGGATCGGAATTGCAGAGGATGGCGAAGCCAGCGTTGTACTCGGGAAGTCTGGCGACTTTGGAAAGGAATCCCTATAGTTCCATCAACTTTATCTCGAGTTAAGTCGTCCGCGGACGGGCTTACAGGTATCTCTCCCCCATGCTCATGGATTAGCACACCTCGATGGGTGCTCGCGCGGTGCGCTAATCCGCACAGGACGGTCTGGTCTGGAAACTCTAAACCACCAGCTGCACCCGCGATCGTACGGGGAATGACAGCTTTGGCGTATTCTGGTATACTCGGGAGCGCTTGGATCCATTTGGCCTGGACGAATCTTGCTTCAAGTAAGAACCAGTCGAAAGATAAGATAGGAAACTGGCCATGTCGTTGCTGTCGATCCACAGTCTTCCAGTACCTATAGCGCCTTGACACCTTTCAATACCATACTCGATCCAACGGCCTTCATCTCCTTCACCGTTTTGGTCGACTCTCTGCCAGGATGACTTCGCAAACTCGCCCTGGTCCGCAGTATGGTAAAATGTGGCGGAGGTTAAGCCAAGGGGTTGGAAGAGTTGCTCATGGGCGTAGACATCGAAGGCTTGACCTGTGAGTTTCTCTACGAGCATCGCGGCTAAATCGAAGAGTATCGAGTTGTACTGATGCCTCTCCCTGAATCCGCCACTCAGCTCCAATGTCGCAAGCCTCTCGACCAATTCTCCCATAACGTACCCTGGTTCAAACATCTCATCGTACCCCGGCAAGCCTGTCCTGTGGGAGAGAATGTCTTCGACAGTGCATTCGGCTTCGGCAAGCGGGTTGGCGAGACGGAAAGAGGGAAGGATGGTATTGATAGGGGTGCTCACTGGCAGAGGGGGAGAGCTGGAGGCGAGGGCCCGAACAAGAAGCAGAGCGGTGATAAGCTTGGAGCTTGAGGCGAGGGCAAAGCGGGTCTACTTGGCGTTGTCAGAGCTGAGCAAGTGGGTGGTGGGAAAGCTTACTGAGGGAGTGACGGGAGAGTGCTCGTCTCTTTGTCCGAAAGTCAAGATATTGTGGCTATCATGTTGAACTATAGTAACGCTTGCTCCTCGTATCTTCCAATCGGCTAGGCAGCGCTGGATTTCTTGCTCGAGCCTGATTGCAAACTCATCATCGATAACTGACGACATTGTGTTCGTCATAGTAGCTGATCTAGGAAGGTCGCGGAGGAAGGGTTTTCTATGTCTATATATATGTTGAGATACTGAAAGTACTGTACATAGAAATGTCTGATCCGGTAGGCCCGGCATCCAAAACTCATGGCACATCTGAAAGGATGCTGCGGTCGTTGGGTGACAGACGATTTCTCTGGTTAGAGGAAGGGCGTGCATGCTATGCAGCCAGGATACGGCTGATGCTCAGGGCGGGTGAGACTGTAGCTACATGTATCAGCCAGACCACTAATACTAACTTGGACAATCTGGGAGCTTCACACAATGTTCATCAACTATCGTCCATCGCTCCCACCCCTGTCTATGCACCAAGGCACAACGTTTTACGTCCCCGCCGCCGATCAGTCTGTAGTACAGTACCCGTATGGGGATTCAGCGAGCTTCATCGAGCTTGACGTGTGGTCTTATCGGTGATGCACCGTAAGACACGATACATAGGAGTTCTTCCATATGTTTAGACGCTATAGCTAATCAAAGAGGCCAGGGTGACGAGTGTGCCGTTTATGTTTGTATGCTGGGTCTCTTTCTTCTCTTTGAGACATCTCTTTCTTTTCCCATGGGCAGTCACTTGGAAGAACTCGTCGATAAGATGCTTCTTCTCCTCCGTGGTAGAAGAGAGCTCTAGTTGTTGCTCAGTAAGGCGCAGGAACCTTCTGTGCGTCTGATGGCTTTGTAAGAACAACATCACTGACCGAGAGGAAGGGCATGGCTCACAGCATCGATCATCTCCACCTGCAAATGATTGTCAATCTGCCCTCAGGTGGCAAGCAAGTACACGGCATTACCCCCGTTCCCGGGATCCAATACTTGTCTGATAGCCTTCTATGCCATTTGTAAGCTCGATTCTCTCTGAGAGTCGAACTGAAACTCACTCGGGTGGATAGGTACAGGCTGTTGTCACCCTTGTTTGTGAGCTTCAGACCGGAAACCGTCCCTGGCTTTCTTGGGAGCTTGCTGGACAGCGGCAGTGTATACCATCAAAGGGTGAGGACTTGCGGTCGCTAGTGTTGTCGGTGATGTCAGCTTCTGTGACATTGGACGCATCATTGGGACCTAGGCATGATAAGCATTTCCTTGAGTTATTTGGTATAAAAGATAGCTCACCTTTGTGGCAGGGGACAACAGAAAAGGTGATCCTCAATACTCGTCATTGCTTCCTTGTTTGTGGCACCTCTCTTGCTGATTCTATTACATCACAACCATCATATTGTACCAGGCACGACTCATATCTAGGGCCATTGCTGACACCACACTTACACAGCAATTCAGCTCCAAGATACAAACCAACTCCGACTCAACCCAATACCTATCTCCAACCAAGACCTAGACACCCAAGCACCCTCATTCTTCTTCACCCCAATTACAATTCAGGAAAAGCCCAATTATACCTTGAAACACAAAGTTTGTAGCATAGAGACACTTTCTATATATAGAGGCACTTCCTATACATGAGACTACTTCCAAGATATCGTGAACCTTAGCTATTTTAGGACTTATTTCCATAGCAACTCATGAGAAAGCGTAGCAAGCCATGGGAACGGCTTAGTCAGCTGGGTGGCGAATATCGGAAAGCTTAGTAAGCCAGTATGGCTCTGGATGTCTAAATAAGTAGATAATTTTACATAAATTTGAGGATCTCAGCAACTTTGAATAAATCTGACTTGCCTATGGATTAGGTATCACAAGTGAACAGGCCTATTCGATTTATACTAGCTAAGCCGACAAGAAGTCTTCAGCCTTAGGTTAGTCCAAGTCCCTATCGAGTCCAAGATAGCCTTGCTTGTCAGGTCCCAACATGTACTTGTATATAGTCGGATTGAATTGACATATACGTAAACAGCCCTCTCCTTTGTTCAGTCAAGAGATTTCTTTATACTGCTGGGCAGTTAGAGGGACACTGTGAGTAGAACCTGACCTAATTTACTTCTTTAGGATTTTTCTTGATAGCTTCAGGTCTCGGCCATTGGTTGAAACGTATAGGGATGTTGTTGGGGTGAGCAGCTGCAACTCATTTCTTGGGTTGTTTCTAAGCTTTCTTCAAGGCCCATGTGCTTGAGATGCTTACTTTGGGTGGAAGAGTCATTGTACTGCTTCCAAAGTCAATGTTAGAAAGCTGAGAAACAACCCAAGAAACGAGTTGTAGCTACTCACCCCAACAACATCCCTATACGTTTCAACCAATGGCCGAGACCTGAAGCTATCAAGAAAAATCCTAAAGAAGTAAATATCTCTTCTGCTCAAGATGTACGAGCTGCAGTGTAAGGATCCAGTGGTCAGGTCCCGGGGCACAAGTCAACAAGTCCAAATACCAACATATGCACTATGATTCCAGGGTTGGAAATATGATGCATACCCGCCCTCTTACAGGAGGGGAGCCTTGGGGGAAGAGTCTTGGAGGAGGGGAGTCTTGGGGGAGGGGACCTTGGGGGAGGGGAGTCTTGGGGGAGGGGACCTTGGGGGAGGGGACTTTGGGGGAGGGGAGTCTTGGGGACAAGGGGGAGCGACCTGCGGGCTTCAAAATGTTCAGTGTCAACTTCTGCATTGTTGGAGGAGTTTGTGGTACCTATGTGGAAGCTCATGGCAATTGGCAGGCCTGACTTCCTTGTCATTGGAGTATACACAGGGTGAAAGTGCGCAGGTTGCAGCCGAATGCCCGACAAAAGCAGGTCTTGATGCATGAAAGCACTGTGTTGAAGGCGAAGCTGGAAATAGTCAGCTGATACATCATACAATGTCACGTGAATGTACTTACAATAATTCATCCAGCCGTTTATCGCCTATTTACCCCCTTGCCAGGCTGCTGGATAAGGTAAGCAGTAAAGCGGTTCTCCTTCCTGTTATGATTGTCACAGAGTTCCTTCTTTTAGCTCAGCTTGATGGCCATGAATGGTCCATCGTTGCCCTGGAAAATGTGCTCCGGAGTGTCCGCATTGCAGTTGGTGTTGGTGCAAAAGGTGCAACAGTACTCGGTCCATTTCGTTTCGACGACACACTAAACATATATAGAGTCAGTATAAATCAACACCTGAATATGAGGCAGATCGCATACACATAAGGCCCTTTCGTGCGCCATCGTATGACTGATTTGGTTCACCAAGATCCGAGTTGGTCGGGGATTGATCTGATTCAACCTGCGCACCTTTGCGGAAAGCTGGGTATATACCAACGGCAAGTAAGTAGGACCTGCCACAGTCTCCCTTCAGCGCTATGCTGAGGCCCCTTGCCAACCCCAGCATATAGTCTTTCCTGAAAGCTAGGAGAGAGCCGCGCCGGCGGCATTGGCCAATGGCCTGGGAACATTTGATGCCGCATTACGTATGGATGTCACCTCCACTTTCGGTGTTGTTCGTCGCGTCCACACCATGCTGCGATGATGTTGGACAGTCCATCATCATCGCGCGTACAATACCAAGGCCCAGCGATGTTGCCCCCCTCTCTCCTGTACCATTCTTCCACGCCCGCCCTCTATCCCACAAACACTGCCCACTCCCTCCTCGTCCTCCGTTTCTCAGCACCCGCCCGAGTCGCATCCGTTCGTATCATCCCAGAAGGCGTCAGATCACTGGACGGCCAAGGGTAAGCTCACTGCGCGAGGGGCCGTGATTGTTCTCACTTGACGACTCAGTGTAACTTATCCACATTCATGGTCGGGCCAGCTCTTGTTCAATATCTCTCCTTCAAATCCCGTCAATGCCCTCGTGTCGACTACCATAGACTATGAAGGAGGCGACCATGCTGTGGACTATCCTATAGACATGCCGGAAGGAGTTAGTGATGATCATGTAACTGTTTGGGCGAAGCTGATATGACGGACAGACAGTTAGCAGAATGATCATGCTCCGCGCGCCTGTCGAGCAATTGACGATTTCAGTCTACGGCTACACCAACCCCTCAGACGAAGCTGCCGTACCCATCGAAGCGTCAGACATCTCGGCTAGTAGTGTACCGTCGTCGGAAGACTATTCCTGGTTATGGACGTGGGTTGGCGACAGTCCCACAGCGCTATTAGACTATCTTTCATCTTCAGCCGACTCTGCGGAGATATCACGAGCCTTGGAGTGTCTCGACTTGCTCGCCGAGACCGACAACTCTGTTCTCTCAGCCACGCTGGAGAGCGACCAGTACCTCTTCTCCATCCTGCAACACCCCTCCTCGCCCTTTGCCAGAAAGCTTCTAGACGACTGGACGTACGCGTCTCAGCCACCACTCTCCGAGCTTCTCCCCAACGATCATCCTTTCAAGCCTCTGCTCCACCCCTCGAGCTCCGAGAGGCATACTGCTGCCTGGGAGAACCTGAGTATCGGGGTACCGGCTCTTTCGAGTATACTGCAACATCAGACGCAGATAGAGGAGGATGACCTTCTTCGGGTAGAGCGGGCGGAACGGAGGAGTAATCTTTCGAGGTTGCTAGAGTTGGGAGAGCGCTTTGCTAAGGAGGAGGATAGCGAGGGTTTGAGATTGGTCCTTGACCTGCTCCAAAAGGCCCAAGTTCAGGATGTCCTCATTTGGAGACAATTGGTGGGAATCGTCCCAAGGTGGACGACGATAAGCAACGTCCTAGATCCCAACTACCAGAGGAGCTTGTCAATCCCATCAGGGTACGCACGCAAAGTCCTCGCCAATATCCTCCTAGCATCATCAGAGGTCGTCGGCAAGAAGCTCGCTTTCCCAGAGGCCAAGCGCCTGGCTGAGCCATACCTTGCGCCGCTCTCCCCCGATGACCCATTGCGCACTTGCTTCTCTTCACCTCCCCCTCACCCGTCAACACCTGCTGTGCCCTCCTCAACCGAGTCTGCCTTCCTCAAAACCCTCTCCCAACCTCCTCTTTCTCCATCACAATCCTCCAAAACCCCCTCCCTCCCTCTCCCCACCCTCATCAACCTCCTCGCTCCCCACCTCGCCCAATCCCTCTCAACAGCCATCTCCCCGCCCTTCTCCATTCCCCCCTCTTACGGTCG